TTGTCTACGACGCTGCATTTGGCATCTTAACAACCCTGAGAAAATCTCTACTTGTGTTTGGCTGATTCACTTTTCTATTGCAAATGTAGTTTACCACCAGAAAACACACCTGTCCCAAAGGCTGGACATGGAGGGTGTAACATTTACATCAAACTGTAAAATGCCTCCTGTAGAGGCTTCAGTGTGTGAATAAAAACTGACGAAAATGACATCAGCTTTGGCAAAACCCGGCCAAAAAGACGTATAATTAAAGGTTTAAATTTCCAACAGCAATAGTCATACTTTCAGGAAACGAAATGAAATGGTGGATGATGTTATTGGGTGACTCCACTGTACATTGCGGGCATCATAATTGCTTCATGACAAGACTTCAGGCTGCATGGGTTGATCTCAGCAGTCACAAAAGAGTTTTATTTTTTATCATATTACGTGGCGGTACATTGCTACACTTTATTCCTTATTTATAAAATATTCACACATTACCATGTTTCATCTAACTGCGAAACGGCAATCTTCAAAACCTTGCGACATATCTGCTTTAATCTTATATATAAAGTTAAAAGTTTTTGTCTTTTTGGTTTGGTGTTGTTCTGTCGATGCAGGGCGTGATAGGCACCAACATCACCATCAAGGTGCTGTGTGGCGTGATGGGTGACACCTCGCTGGGGGAGCCATACGCCCGCTATGCCGCTGTGGCCCGCCTCATGATGGACACCTTCTCTGTGAAATGCCTGGATGCCAGCTACAGTACCTACCTGAGAGACATGAGTAACACGTCCTGGGAGGGGCCGGCTGCAGGGGGAGGTGGGTCCCAGCGTGTCATTTTATTTTTGTGTTATGTTCAGTGATTTTATTTAATCCATTAATAACTCCACGACTGTTGGAAAACAGCTATTTTTCTGGCGGGGGTTTTTGGGGGAGGACCGACTTGTTTTCAGGTTGTCCCGTAGCATGTTTTTGTTCTCATGACAGAGGAGAACTGGCGCAGACAATGTGATGTCTCATGAAAACAATTTTCCACCAGTAACACAGGAGCGATCAGCTGCAGCAGAGGCCAAAACACCAGTGATAAACACCATCTGTAGCTTCAGGAGACCAGAATATAAGGCAGCTACAAGACATGCTGTGTGTTGAGTAAGGGGATGTGGTTTTTGTCATAGCGCAGCAGATCCATTTCTGGCTGCTGCTGAAATGCTTTTCCTGGAAAAGTAGGATATTACATATTCAAATAAAAGCAGACTTAGACTATTTCTGGAAAACAACGTAGACCAAACATGTGATTACATCACTTTAGACCTAAACAAAACTCCTGGGATGATTTGAGCATCCTAAAATAGTGTTTTCTTCTTTTTGCGGTTAAAAAGTTAAATTAAGACCATTTTTTCTGGCAGTGTTAACAATCCAAGGTGTGTTTATTTTAAAATTTCACAGTGACTATTCTAAGACTGGGTATGCTATTTTCTTTACTGTTGTCTCTTATTTTGGAACTCGGTATTGAGACACATCTTTGCATGTTTAACCAGAAACAGGTTCTCTATATTCCCTGTTGTACCCTTGCCCTGGGCTGTGGTTCCTTTTCCCAGCTTTGGTCTCATGAGTGGGAGGACTGGAGTGGGATCACTGGAACAGGAAGTGGTCTTTTTCCAAAGCCATTTGGATGCGTCTACATAAACTCCCCCAGCTACGCCCCTTGTTTTGTGGGTTTCAGTGAAACTCTTTCCTCTCGTAATTGGGGCTGAAAAGTGAGAGTGAATACTGTTTTGGGGAGAAAGACATTTTAAAGTAGCGTTACCTGCCCTGTGGTGTAAGTGACGTGATTTCTGTGAAGCAAATGAACATTCTGGCCATGGGTAAAGTGTGTGTGTGTGTGTGTGTGTGTGTGTGTGTGTGTGTGTGTGTGTGTGTGTGTGTGTGTGTGTGTGTGTGTTGTCAGGGAGACAGTGGGTCTACCAGACCTGCACTGAATTTGGATTCTACCAGAGCACCGATTCGCCCAATCAACCATTCATTGGCTTCCCTCTTGTGTGAGTCCACTAAACACTGCCTCTCTACCCAATAATAAACTCATAATTGGGCTTTAACCCCTGCACCAGCCTCCACCTTCTCCCACTACTGGTCATTTTTGTTTTTCTCATCCAGGTATCACGTGAAACAGTGTGCAGACTTCTACAATGTCAGCGCCGAGCAGCTGGCCGAGGCCGTGGCTCAGACCAACGAGTACTACGGCGGCTACGACATCCGCTCCAGCAGAATAGTTTTCCCCAACGGGTCCATTGACCCCTGGCACGCCCTGGGAATCACGCAGGACATCGCACCTAGCCTCCCTGCTGTTTTCATCACAGGTGAGAAAAAATATGCATGAGAGGTGATCCCACTCTGGAAGAAGCTCTGCGACTATATATATATATATATATATATATATATATATATATCATGGACACAACGTTTTGCCACTGCTGCACTGGAGTAGAGAAATTTCTGATAGCATGCACAAATAAAATATAATAATAATAATCAGAGTTTACAAAGTGGTTTGACAAACAAATCAAAAGCAATGATAGTAAAAAGCAGGACAGAAATAAGGGGGAGTTACAGAGGGAGGGCAAACGATAGGCTTCATTATAAATAAGGACAATTAGAGGGAGCAGATGCTGTATAAAAACACACGTGCAGATGCATGCAAACACAGTAAAAGCAATAAAAGGGCGATATGGAGACGATAAAAAGAGAAGAGAACGACATCACATAAAAGCAAGTCTATAAAAATGAGTTGAAAAATGAGTATAAATGGGGTTCAGTGAGAATAGTGCACTGTATAGTAAATGGGCAGAGATTTTAGAAACAGCCTGAGACTTTGTGATCTTCAATTGTTAAACTGTCAAAAGTAACATTTAAGATTTTAACCATTGTTTCTGTAAAATATATCATTATTATTATTAATACAGTCTGGCGGGACCTGAGTAAGTGTTGAAACATCGTAAAAACCATGTTTCACCAGCCAAGTTAAATTAATATTTTGCAGCCTCCTGTTTTATGATGCAGATGTGGTGTCTGCAAGTTATGATTTAAAACATAATAAAATACAAAGCCCAAGTAAAAAAAATACATATCAATGGAGTTATATATGGCCTTCTTTTTGTGTAGCAGGTGTCTTGTACATGATAGGTACATGTCTTCATTGATCCAATTCATCATCAAGCTTTTTAACAGCTTTTTGAATTTCTGTATATCCAGGTCTAAAATCTGTTGCAGGTTAATTTTTTTGTGTGGTTTCTTTACATTACGAGAACCAAACGACTCTTTCAAAGTCAAACAATGACTCGCTTGTTCAGCTCTAATTTTATTAGGTGGATAATTGTTCTTGTAACTCTGTTTTACCACTTTTCCCTGCCACATCCTTTATACATAAATTTCTGTCCGATCCAGGAACAGCACACTGTGCCAACATGTACCCTGCCAGGAGCGAGGATCTCGCCCAGCTGGCTCTGGCCCGCGACCACATCTACTTACTCCTGCAGCAGTGGCTGAAGCAGTGACGGGCAGCTGAATCAGTGGCTTTGCAAAACAAACTAATTATTCTTTTATCCAGATCGTTGACATTGGAGCGAGACTGCTTATTATGCTGCCACATTTATGACTGATTGAGAAGGCACTTTACAAAAGCATGAGTGGGTACAAAGTTCAGGCAATTCTGAGCAAATTAATAAAGATGTTTTCTTTTTTATAACCGTGTATTTCCGGTTTCATTCTGAGTTAACATTGTAAAGGTCGACATTATGCACTTAATTCACGGGTTTCCAGGGCAGGGTATACATGAACATGAAACTAGGAAGTGGTTTTTAAACCAGATAAGCATGTTTGCTGTTTCAGGAATAGTTTAGAATAGTCCTAGATAGCCTTAGTTAAACTTTCAGTGGATTGAATATCTCATCAAAAGACCAACAAGAACATTGTCTTGTGTCCAAACCCCCCCCCCCCAAAAAAACGAGTGCAAATATGTGAAACTGAAATTTCCCCAGCATGACATTCGCTTATGAATACAAAATGCAATGTCACTGCCTTTTGTATCATGCTTTTGCATAGAGGGCACATTGTGCGTCCAACTCTTAACAAACACATTTCATTTTGAGAAATTGCATCTTTCACAGCACACTGAAAATCAATGAAACAAAAACTTTATAACAGAGTTTGTCCAAAACCGGTTTCAGTTCATGTGTTTTGCATGGGACATGTGTTGCACAAACATGCGCTCATCTGGTTTTGTTCAGCACAAGTTACAAGTTTGGTCTTGTTTGATGATAAAAGTGCAAACTGCAGTGTTGTTGTGGCTGCTCAGCGTGAGCATGATGATATCTCCAACAGCACCCAGAGATGGCATCTTTGCCACACCAAGAACATCTGGCAATTGTGTAATTTGGACAACATACTGCAATGTTCTAATGTTTTCTCTTGAGATACATGTATTTAGTTTTAAAAGCAGCATCTGCAATAAGTGGCTTTGCGTGGTATGATTAGAGTACACAGCTGTGTGTTCATTAACTACCTCCTCAAAACTGAAAACACACACACACAATGACCCCTCCCCACTTCTCGCTGAACAGTGTTTATTTTCACAACAGTCCCATCTCTCTGCATCCCAGCTGGACTATGCACGACCCCCACCCTGACACAAACCAGCATCCACAAAGACCGTGGACCAAAATCTGCCCTGAATCCACCAACCTATTAAAGCACAGGTTCAGCCCATATAATACACATGAAAAATATATATTATTATTATTATGACAGCCCACAATCCAGTCTTTGTTGAGGAAAATGTTCATGATGGATTTAGTCATAATTTGCCCACATACTCTCATTTAATCCCCTGTAATTCAAACCCTCAAGCACCTACTCATAATCCTCTCTTTGGCAAGCAGCAGGGATGTAATTGAGCCTCAGCCTCTTTTCAGGTGTGTGTGTTTGTGTTCGTGTGTCGCCACCCAGCTGTGTCACCTCACCTGACAGAAAAGCATCATGTGGTCTTCTGAGAGTGTGCCTCAGTTATGGGCAGGCTCAACCATTTTGCACTAAATATGACGCAGCATGACTAATATGACTCCTACATGTTGTTTCTAAACTCTCCCCGTAAACGCGTCTTCCTGTTGTGCACAACATACAAGTTTTTGGTCGCGTCATGTTAGCCGGAGTTAGCTAAACTGTGACCGGAAGTAGCTGCGTGGACTTAAACATGAAGCTGAACTATTTTTTATTTGCTTATAAAAATATAGGCGATGACTCGGTTAAGTACAGCGACACAATTATATTATAATATTATGTGAAATTGTGAGCGTTGTATTATAGAGGTTGGGAAATTTCAGTACGATTCCGACGATTGCGTTTTATTTTGAAAGTCTACCGGAAAATGTTATTCTGTACGTGTGTATTTGACGCTAACAGACAACCCCCCCCCTCCCCCTCCCCTCCTTCTTCTTCTTCTTGCCCTGTGTGGTCTGAAGGCGGAGTTGAATCTATTAAAGTCCTCTGAGAAACAGCGGTGGAGTCAGTTGAAGCTCTCACTTTAACTAGAATATAGAGTTGGTAGATTTTTCATTTATTTTACGGACCAAACGTCGTTTCTGGGCGGGACGGCAGCGAGACGTGGACTGATAACGTTACAACTTCACCTGCGAGATAAGTCGACCTAACGTCACGTCCTGAATCGGTAGGAGTGTGGGTTTTAACGTTAATTGTTGACAGCGTTATACGTTATATCTAAGTTTAACAGCATTTAGAAGATGCTCTATCATTTAAATACAACTTTAACACGTATTTCTGTCAGGTGGGTTTTGTTTGACTCCTTAAATAAGCTATGAATAATTGAGAAAACTTTAAATTCTGTTATCTATGTGCCACTATTAAGCTGCTTTCACGGTCTCCCTGCAGTCAGTGTGGACTGAGTTCTGGTGTAATGTAATGATAAGCATGCTGGCTTTTTATCAGTGCTCCATCCCTGCACATTTATCAAACAAACTGAAGAAAAAATGCTCCCAAAGCATATTTATGTCTGACATATTTAAACACAGTGACAGTTTTTATATTTCCTGTAATTTATCTACAACAAAAAGGTAAACTATAGAGTGTTGTTTTGTAGGTTCTGAGAACCACTTAAAATCTTATAGCTGCTTCAGTGGAGTGGGGCTGCAGGCTGAATCATTTTCCTAAAATGGTCCAAAATATCTAGTCTGAAATTAAAACAAAAGAAGAGAGCAGTTTCAGTGGGCAGGTTGTGGTTAGACTATAATATTTATGTGTGAGTAAGAGTTAGTCAGACCCTGCAGCACTGGATAAAAGGTTTTCTTGCCTGAGGACATAAGAAGGTGCATGTGGTAATTGTGGTAAACCATGATGAGTCATGTGAAAAGGACATTCAGCTCTCTTGGAAGTGATTTTAAAGAATGCCACTGGTTGTAGACTGATGTTTTCATAAATCTGGAGTTGTCGTGATGCCAGGTCTCCTGATTGATGGCACTGGAAACAATGCATGTAAATAAATCTTGTGTCTCCAGGAGAACAAATCAACAATTGAGACTGTCTTGGTTTATTCAAAATGCCTACAATAGTCTGTATTCTGTCTCTGACTAGGTGCTGTATAAATCACAATGAAGCACCTCTCCTTGTTTTGCCTGTGTGCACTGGTGATCCTTGAGGGTGTGCTGCCCCAGGCTCCATCGTACGGTGAACGGGGCTCAGATCTTGGCATACAGGTGTTTCAGCAAGTAGTCCGTTCCAAGCCCCTGGAAAATGTGGTGTTTTCACCCCATGGAGTGGCTTCCATTCTGGGCATGCTGCTACCTGGAGCCCATGGAGAGACCCGGAAGCAGATCATTAGTGGTCTCCGTTACAAGAAAAATGGTAAGGACTGTTTCCGACCGTAGACGTTAAGAGTTTTGCTGATGAAGCTTTGTATGTAAGCTGTTTGTTAAACAGTGATTTTAAAAATAATAACACGTTCATTTGGTCTGCACAGGTCCTTACAAGATGTTGAAGAAGCTTCACAAGGCCCTGACAAAGTCCAACCAGGACCCTGTGCTGATTGGCAATGCCATTTTCAGCCAGGAGGGCTTCCCCATGGAGGCGTCCTTTGTCACCACCAACAAAGACAACTTCCAAAGTGAGACCAGGAGCCTGGACTTCAGCAACCCTCAGGGGGCAGCCACTGAAATCAACGATTGGGTCAACAATAAGACTAAAGGTAGGAGCCGTAAATACGGAGCAAGTAGAGAGTGATTAAGAAAGGTTTGGATAAAGTCGTCTTCCTGATCGCCCCAAGTCTGTGACAGTTCCAAGCTATGTAGGGTGATTGGACCCCTGTATACTTACCTGCAACAAAGGCAAACACATATTCAAACTAACACTGAACTTGTTTCTATTTCACAAACTACAGTAAGAGTCAGTTTTCTGTGTGTTCTCATATGATGCTGCATTATTACCTCCTCATCTGTACTGACGAAAACATGAAAGAGATGACTGTTCTCATCGAGCCTTGCTGATTGAATGTATTTCGCCCCATGTCGCACCTTTTTATCCAGGTCACATCTCCACCTTGATCAACCCAGGCATGCTGGACCCGGATATGACGCGCCTGGTCGTGGTCAACTCCATCTACTTCAAAGGCTTATGGAAGTCCCGCTTCCAGCCATCGAACACCAAGATGAGGCCCTTCACCGGGGGCGATGGAAATGCACATTCAGTCCCGATGATGTCCCAACTGTCTGTCTTCAACATGGGTGAGTTGTGATGTGCGAGAGGTTTCCATTGATGACCCTCTGTGTGAGACTACTCATCGCAATATTTTGAAAATAGAGCCGTTAGTCAGTATTAATAATTTTTGCTTTGATATCATCGACTTCTTTACACGCAGCCAACATTTTGGATGCATATTGATGCAGAATACGAGGTTTTTTTTTTTATTACATTTCAACACCAAATGAGATGTAACATTAAAATTAATTGGCCAGTTGAGGTTATCCTTTAATTGTATTTGATTTTTCTTGACTGGCTTTTACACTTCAACAATTTAATTCTATAAATCTTATTTTGTAGATGTGCTGGAGTATGTTTAGTCACACAGTATTAAAGTTTTGTTAGATAATGTGTTTTCCATATTCTAGTTTAGAGTAAGTGCCATCATCAGACCCTGAACTGAACCTGAAATTAAAATGATACCAGTGCCAACATCTAAAAAAAAACATCAGCATACACTGTACTTTCAGTGGCAACAGGATCCAGTTTGAATGTGTGTCAAGAACTGCTCTTTGTTGTTTTTTTTCCCTGCTACACTTGAAACTATTTTGAAGGAAAATGTCAGCTTTTAAGTTGCTAAAAACAGAAGTGGTCATAGGGAGTGGATGGCAGGAGGCAGGAGAACAATCGAACATCTTCCAGGAGATGGGAGGTGAGAGCTGCTGCTGGCAGCAGTGCTCAGGAGGGCACGAGAGAGGACACAGACGGGCAGAGTGCTTCAGGCATGGTGGATGATATGAGCTGAATTTTACACATTTTTGAGATGCTGAGGGGTACTGTAAAATTAAAGGTGGAGTTTTTCTTGGGAACAAATAAAAGTTATGTTTATATTCAGTGTTTCCTATCAAAACGCATTGCGTGCATCCTTGAGGTCTAAGAAATGTGTTGAGTGCACTTCAGTCCTCTTTAAAACATTAGCAAAGTCTCTAAATGTGTGTAATTCTCTATTGTTCAAAAACTCCACAAGGCACATTTAACACTGAGCTTTCACAAAATACAAATGTCAACAAACTGATCTACTGTAGATTTCATGATTAAACTGTTTAATTTAGTTATTTATATTTTAGATGGAATCCTAGGCATTGCCAGTTTATGATTCATAAGATCAGCTTGTGTCGAGTTGTAAAGAAACGCAGACTCAGACATGCCCCATTCGTGGGACATTATTTAGCACTGTGTGAAATGAAATGGTATACCAGTCAGTTGTCTATATTTAGATGAGTTGTCAGAGTTGTCTTGGCATGGTGAGTGCTGTGGGTAGATTCTCATACAGTGTGGGAGTTAAACGAAGGCTGCGTTCAGCTGTGAGCTGTGCACAGATGTTTCTCCAGTGTCCTGCAGTGTTGCTCTCCCCTCATTCCTGCGCTTAGGTCATAAAGAGAGCAAAAGCTAAAGTTTGTAAATAACGTAGGTTTGGCTTGATACACTTAAGTTTTGTGGATATAAAGGGATTTACATACACATAACGTATTTGAATGAAGAGAAAAGTTCTCTAATGCATCTTGGAAAACTTGATCTAAAAATAGTATCCCTGTGTAAAGTCATAAACTGTGATATTTGAATATCACTGTTTGTTTTGCTGCTCGCCATTACCAACTGATACAACACAGTACTGTTCCAGAGAGAGTTCTGCATTTGATCTAATGAATATCTGCTGTGTGGTCGGTCCTCACTGAGAAAGAATTTGATTGCCAACCAGGAAATGATGTATTTTCCGCTTTTAGTTTGTTTAGACTGAATAAAAATATTGAGCAGCGATAACCACTAACCACCAGGGTCAGCGAGACAGAGGACGTACTGTCATCCACAGAGAGAAAATCCACAGCCTGCAAACGAAAATCCAGGCAAAATGGAGACTTAAAACATACCAACATTTACAGACGTATAAAAGGGGAAAATATATCATTTCTCTTGCTTCACAAGATAGTGAAACAGAGAAAAGAGGCCACTCTCAGACAAAGGACATGTATGGAATAAAATTAATTTCTATATCAGTCATGATGCATGAACCAAGTTTCATCCAGACCTGTGAAATCATTAAACCAGTAACCTCTCCTCTCCTGCCAGGCATGGCCACCACACCTCAGGGACTGAAATATAGGATCATTGAGCTGCCCTATCATGGCAATGCCATCAGCATGCTGATCGTTATGCCCTCTGACGAGGACACGCCTCTGTCCCGTGTGATCCCACACATCAGCACAGCCACAGTGCAGAGCTGGACCAAACTGATGCACATGAGGAAAGTCCACCTGGTCATGCCCAAGTAAGACACACACACACACATACATACACACACACACAGTTGATTTTAAGACTTACTAGACTGAATGAGACGAACATTAACATTGCGTGTTCATACTTATGTTTGTGTCTGTAGGTTTAGTGCTGACGCAGAGGTAGATTTGGAAGCCGCCCTCTCAGCACTGGGAATAACGGACATGTTCAGTTCGGACAAAGCTGATTTCAGACACCTCTGTGAGTGAAAACACTAGTCAAACCCAAACCTAAAAGTGACGCAATGCCTCCAGCACCTCCAAGTATTTACAACTGTTGAAAGGATTGTTGGCTGTTTACTGCTAAGAGCCGGTAACAAGTGTGAGAAACTGAATCACTGCTGTTCTCCTCCCCGAGCAATGAAAGGAGCTCTGAATGAAGTGCTCTAGTGCCATCTTGTGGTGTATTGTAAAAGCAGTTTATACTTTTGCTCAACCATTTAAAATGTGTTTGTTAGGTCATTAATAGATAAATATTTTTATTCAATCATCTGATCATCATCTGATTTCCACGTCACTGCTGTTTTATGATATTGATAATAATATTTGACCCTATTTGTCAGACACCTGATCAATAAAATCAAAATACTGGACCACGGATTCAAAAGGATTGCTGTGACACATACAACCACATGCTAATTTATTAGATCCACCTAGATAAAATTAATGCAGTATAATAGAACAGGCCTGCAATAAATCCAAAGTAATGAGGATTATAAACTTCAATCTTGATTGAATGTGTTTGAGAGAGAGTTGATTTAGAGAGTTGGTCATTTTGGAGGATGTAATTTATAGTGCTGTTGAACTGCACTGTGTTATACCGAGAGGTGAAGATTAACCCTGTCAAATAGATTCAATAGATTCAATAAAAACTGAACTGAAGGGAGCATTTATTGCAGGCCTGTTGTATAATACTGCATTAGTTTTTATCTTGGTGTACCTAATAAATTGGCATGCAGTGCGTCATAGCAACCCTTCATCTCAACTGGAGAATCAGTATTTTTACTGAAGAACTTTTCTTCAAACTTAAATTGGGTACGACATGGATTTATTTAATCACTGGAGTAATTTGCGAGTAAGAGAATCACTGGCAGATGTATTTTTGCATCAGTAAGGAAAATATCAGGAACGATTTACAGCCTGTAACAAGACTGGATTGTCTAAAGCTAGAATTAACAGTAAGTGTTTTCTCAGGTGCTGAGCCTTTGTTCGTATCCAAGGCGCTCCAGAAAGCCAAAATTGTGGTGAATGAAGACGGAACAAAAGCAGCAGCTGCCACTGGTCAGTATTTGTTTGTCTTGGACTTAAATGTTGAGCCAAGCACAAACCTGTGTGCTAAGTTTGTGGGAATGTTCTATACAACAGTTGTACTTGTAGTATTAGTACATTCATAAAAGTAACTTGTTATAGTTTCTGACATGTTTTACAATCTGTTTGCTGTTCTGTTTAGCTGCCATTTTGCAGGCTCGGTCCTCTCCACCTTGGGTTACAGTGGACAGACCTTTCCTCTTCCTCATCAGACATAAGTCAACAGGTACAGTCTCATATTTCCATCTGGGTTTAGTCACCTTTTTAAAGGTATATATAAATACATTTATATAGAAGATCTAACATTTCTGCAAATATAGGAGATATTTTAAGCAAGATGGCTCAAAATGCAAATTCAACTTGCATAAAATCTTGTTTTACTCGTTCATAGTCTTGAAATATTGAAAAAATAGGATTTTACCTGTAGAAAGCAGAACTTGACCATGAGGAGTTCTTCATGTCTCTGTCCCCAGGTACCATTCTCTTCATGGGCCAGATCAACCAGCCTTGAGCCCAGTCATCACTGGCCAGCCCCTGGTGACATCATAGGCCAGCAGAAGAAATGCTTATACACTGCCACGCATGTACACACACATACACATGAATACACACCCACATACACATGCACACTTTGCTGTAGACTTATGTACAATGTGGACATATGATGTTTTTTGTTATAAATATTGCTTTTTATGTTACCCATTTTCTGTAATGCATAACAGGCTTTATAAAATGTTTTGCAGACTAAATTTTCCACCTGTTTTAATTTTTTTTTTATACTTTTTACATTTTAAAATACTTTGAATGTCAATTGTGTATTTTCTCAAGTCTGGAATAAGATAATTACATTTTTTTGTTTTATCATCACTTTCAGTTTAAATGTTCTCCTTGGGCCAATGTACATCCCACCTTGAACGACTTGCATTCAGCTACTTTAAAATGATTGTTTCCCTCATTGAGGAAGATTTCTGTTATCATACTTGCTTCATATTTGATAAAATAAATACACATATTTATAACACCAATGATTTTTGCCTTGCTTATATTCTGTAATGGTATTTCTGAGAAGAGAATGTTTATGTACATGTGGCTTTCTGTAGTACCATGTTTGTGTTTTCACACGTCTGTCACATTTATGATACAAACTCAATCACAATCACTTCCTGATTGTGGAGGCATAGCTATGGTGAGTACAGTATTGGAACAGTTGGACGTTCAAAATCAAGAATTTAAATTGTAATGTCAGGTTACAGGTCTAGAATTGGAACTTTCAAATCTAAAAATCGTCATATTCAGTTTTCCGTATTCAAATTTTACAATGCTATGAATTGGAGTTACATTTCTGAAATTGGCAAAAACCCCATCTTATTTTTTATTTTTTTTAAAGCTGTACCATTAATTCCAGTTTTAGATCTTTAATTTTAAATCCTAGCAATAGAATTTCCAAATCTAACATTGCAATTTCAGTTTTAAAATGTTGAATCACAGTTGTAGAATTGGAAATTCTGATTCTAGAATTGTAATTTAACATTCTAGAAGCTGAACTTTGCGGTCAAGATCTGGAAAATCAAATTCTAGAACTGTAAATTAAAAATTCTAAATCTAGAATTGGATTTTTTTTGTTGTGGAAGTTTATTTTTCTTTTCAAAAATGTGCATTTCCAGTTCGTTTTGCACTGGATAACAGGCACAGTATACAAACTGAATTTAACACTAGTGTGTTACAAGTCTGGCACAGTATAGACACACTTTCCGTCCCTCTGGTTTCACATTTTCAGACAGGGACAGAACCAGGGCTTAGCCCCAATTTAAGTCTATGTTCAGGGGGCATGCTGCCCTGGGGATTTCTTTCCACATTAACAGCAGCTACATGGACTATTTACTGTATCAAGCCATTTGCACATCATTTGGAGAAAACATGACTGTTACCCAGGGAAAAAAAATCATCCAGAGCCTGCATCATATTTTGAATCTAATTGTTCTCTATGAAGGTATTTTTGGTGCAAAACAACTGAGCACCTGTGACCGTGGAATTAGTAGTTGTATGAAATAGTCACACGTGTGTATCAGTAAATTTGAGGTCACAGAGGAGTTGCATACATTTTTCTCTCTCCCACAAACAACAGTTCCACCCTCTCAAATTCTTCATTGCAGGTGCACAAATCACAAATTAAGAAACTCATACGCTCACATTTTTGCTACAGTTGCTGCAGAATACTCTGTTACATATGCATCACTTGAACAATCAGCTTAATCTGAGTATATGATGGCTTCTTAACTGGCTGAACTGGCTGAATCAGACACTGACAGCTTTAGTTGCTTGTGTCATCTCGGGCACTCTGGTTGTATGTATCTTTTATCATGTTAGTCTCTTTGCTGATGCTGTGACTTTTGAGATCCTTAAAAACTCGGGGCCCCTGAGACCTCTGACCTACTTGCTTTGTGATTAATATGGCATCTGTTGAGCTTGAATCGGCTCATTTGAATGTGTTGGGCGCATTCTTGCGGCCATTACGGTAATCCTGACAGCAGCTCCGGGTGTCAGCTGATCCTCCTTTACTGGCGACTGAGGAGGAAAACCAGCTGAAGGAAAACACTGCTGGCTAGTCAAAAACCATGGCTGCGGAGATTCATTCGAGGCCTCAGACCGCTAGGCCGGTTCTTTTGAACAAGATCGAGGGACACTCAGACACTGTCAACGCGGCCGTTTTAATACCAAAAGAAGATGGAGTGATCACGGTCAGCGAGGACAGGTGAGTTTGCCTGGCTGGCTAACGGTAGCCTACACCAGTAGCTAGCGGGCTGCGTGTATTTGCTGGTCATTACACTCATAATTCTCGGTGCACTAGTTCAAGAGTGACTAATCGAAAGACAAGAAACTACATTTTTCGCTCTCATGATGAGATATTTTGGTCGTGATATTCCATATGGAACCGAGGTTAGCGGAGGAGGGTGTGGGGAGAGAAATTCATCTAGGATGAGACCTCTCCATTAAATATCCGCGAACAAATAACCACAACAGTGAACGGGAAAACAACATTTGGTTTTCAATCTGTAACGTCTCGTTTTAAGGCTCATGCTCTGCTTCGCGTAATTGTATTCAAACGTGTTAGACTAACCTAACGCTTAGCAGCTGGCTAGCTACCAAGCTACAGCTCATAGTAAACATTACTTTCTCAAAACTAACGACCTGGTGCCTTCAAGTGCTCGTCGTAATCTACAAAGATTTTATTCATCGGAGGTGTTTTTAATGAAACTTTTTCAGATGGACTTTGTATTCAAATTTGATGAACACAGTAGTAACAAAGGGCACATTTATAAGTTGTTAATACATCTTATTTACAAGTTGCATTATACTGGCGTGGCATAGTCAGTTACGCATGATTTAATGCTTGTTCATACAAGCTGGGGTCTCCCTGAACATCACATCCCGACAACTTTGGTGTATTAAAAACCCTTTTATTGTGGTTGTTCGTGAATGATTGAAATCAATACCACGTTTTCAACAAAACCTGAAAGCAGCACTCACTGTCTGTTATTGTGGCTGTCATGTTTGGCTTCGAGTGTGAAGACGCAACATCCCCGTTCAATAAGATAAGGGAACTTAGGTGCTGTGAAGAAACACCATACAGTTTCCATCACACATCTAAACCATTTGATATTCAAAAGGGAAGTTGTGGGATGATAATGCAGAGTCTAACATTCCGGTTCCTCGATGAAACAGGCTTTTGGTGTTGTTTACAGTTTGACTTTGTGGATATTTTACTGGAATAGAAGTAAAACCACAAACCTGCTTCCTTTTGAAAGGTCGATGGGAACTTATTTTAGATGCACTTGAACCGAAAACCACGTGGTTTTTAAAAAATACAACAAAACAGTACATATGAGCTTTGCAGAGTTGCTCTGTTTCTCTTGTTGTTTTTAGGGGTTTTGCTAAAAAATTTGTACCATAATATGTTAAACAGTTTTAAAGCACGACACTTCATGAAAGAATAATTATCACACAAAAACTATCAAAAGGTCTTTATGGTATATACTTAAGCAATATCACATAAGAGGGAGTTATGTACTGAATATCAGCATGGCTGTGATTCGGTCTTAGGTACATCGAGTGTGATATTTCTGTTATACAACATCTCACGGACTCCATATTAGTTAAATAAGTAACAACAGATTATGATTTGTTTTTGTATTTATCGTTTTGTCGACGCCAACATAAATAGTCCCGCAACTGGACTGGTACCAGACTGCTGCTAGCCAGCAAATAAACATGTTCCTGACCTTCACAGTGCACACTAGCTTACTACTTTATCAACACGTTACCTCAGGAATGCGCTGAAGCATCCAGGCTTCTTCCCCTTCATCATCTACTGACGACCACACATCATTTCATTCTAATGTTGTTTCTGGAAATGTATTCATCTTTGCAAAGTTTGTTACAAGCTAACATAGCTAACGACCGTTAATGTAACGCTAATTAACGGTTAATAGAGCACCTGTGAAGCGGAGTGATACGTGTAGTTAAAAGTCCCAGTGCTCATGGAATGCCTCTCGTCCAATCAAATCACTTGATTCGGAAACTAACTGTTGTATGAAATGCAGGATTAGAAGTAGATAATAATTAATATTTTTATACAATAATTGAAATGCACAGTTTCAGAAGTGGTTCAGTTCTGAGTCATCACCTCTGTAATGTGGTGTCAACAGTGATGTTTGCAGAGCGTGTGTGCATGGTGGGGGCGGCATTTAGCTAATACTGAAAATGTGACCTGCCAAGAATAATTTCCCCGACTGAAATTATTGAAACTAATAAATTTGTAATCCTCGCCCTTTTCTGTGCTGTTTAGTGAACAGAACCGAGCTTTGTCTGTAGAGAGAATTAGGGCTGCTTTCCCAGACGAGGATTAAGTCTTAGTCCTAGACGAGGGCGTTCTTCAATGGATATTTCCATCGATAAGTGCCAAGTCTCATCAAGTATGTATTTGTCTCAGTTTAAAGTAGGCCCCTATATACAGTAAGTTAAAGATTATAAATGCATTTAAAGGTCTGTATATAAAAACAGAATCATTGAGCGGATGTTGCATGTAACATCAGACACAGGAGAGTGCTTTGAATGTGATGATTCGACATTTTCCTTCAGGACGATCCGGGTATGGCTGAAGAGAGACAGCGGTCAGTACTGGCCAAGCATCTACCACACAGTCTCCTGTAAGTAAGACTGCACTGTTTCTGTGGGGGGGGGGATTGTGAATGTTTGCACATGATACAGTACAGCTCTACAATACGAACCTCTCTGCAGCACGCCATGTGTACAGTGATGTCCCCGGCTCATGGAGAATATCTGCTTCTTTCTCCCCTAGCTCCATGCTCCTGCATGTCGTACCACCATGACAGCAGACGCATCTTCATAGGCCAGGACAACGGAGCTGTTGTGGTGAGTGGAGCTAACTCAAACAAATGGCCTCATACTCTTGCTGCAGGCTCACTCTTACAGTTCTTCAAACAGTCTAGTTTAAAAAAGAAAAGAAAAGAAAAGCCTGCATATCTGGTTTAAAAGAAGCCACAATCTCAATATTTAGACTCCTCCACATGCCTGTGGGGGCAGGATGGTTATTGGAGTTAAAACTTTGTGTGTGTTTACTTGCCTTCCAGGAGTTTCTCATCTCTGAAGATTTCAACAAGATGAACCACGTCAAAACATATCCAGGTGAGAACGAGGGACTCTAAAGGGGACAGCTACATAAAGCACGAATGACGCATCAGCACACTAAATTTAGAATCAGTGGAGAAGGGGGCTATACGACTGTCCATAAAACTTTAGAAGCCCTGAATGCTCAAATAGACAAAACACAAGCAAAATATCTTCATCAATTTGACAACACGTGCTGCAAACACTCATGGATGAAGATGTTTTCTGTATTTGCCTGTGTTGCGGTGCATTGAGCTCTCAGGGCCACCGTATTTTCCAGGAAGGGGGGAAAAACAACCCTTTTATTCCATAATTAAGTTAAATTATTATTAGAAGTATTTTGCCTCTTGTGTATCATTAAAGTCACATTTAACTGTGGAGGTCTCTTGTATTGTAAACAAAGTTATGTGTTTCTCGCCAGAGCTCAGTCTGTGTATCCTTGAGCATAGTGTTGCCTATTTTTGCTTCTTGATATTGAAGATGAGGAAAAGCCACAGCCCTTATACAGTCATTCCCTCTTGATTTCATCTCCTCTCATACTGTCGTGATTGGATGACTCCTCCTGTGACTGTATCAACATCCATTTAGCCTCCTCAGTGGAAAAATCAGGCTTCGGGGGGGGGGGGGGGGGGCTTTGGCCTGGGCTGTTACTTTAGAGGACCAAACACCACATGTCACCACTGGAATGCTCCATCTGGTTTTCCACCACTTAATGCAGAATCAAGCAGCAGAGCCCGAACAGCGAAAAAACATGACTCACAATCTGATCAAACAGGCAATAAGATGTGTGTATGCACTTCAAAGCCAGGCAGGGCTTAACGCTGCCATTTGCCTTTTGGCAGCTGCTCTCCTCGTAGGTGCTGACAAGGAAAGTGGCCGGTGATCAAAACCGGCTTACATGTGTTCAGTCAGGTTATAAATTATTATGACAGAATGATTGAAATCATTTCTCTCTGTAGTTCAGATTAATTACTTGGCAAGAATCTGTGTTGCATTATTATGTAAACATGTTTGCAGTGTCTTTTGTGCACACTGCACAAGGGACAAAAGAAATTTATTGCTCCGTCGGACGGCGAGGAGAGCAGCAGGTTACAGGAAACACTTTGACTAGATACAAAGAGGAAAACAAATAAAAGGAAAAGGAGAGAGAGGATCAAAGTTTGAGCCTCAGAGGCCAGATCCATGTCCACGGTTTGGTCATGAGGCACTTAAATGCATCCGTCCATCCATCCATTAGCTATACTGCTAACGCCGTGGACAGGTCACCAGTTAACCACATGTATGTCTTTGGACTGTGGGAGGAAGTCCTCGCAGACATAGAGACTAAACACAGAGAGGACAAGAGGACAAAAAGCAGTGTAGAGGAAAATATGATTTCATATCGCTTTATGTCGCTTAAAAATTGGACATGACTTCAGTTTTATTTTCTCCCGAGTTCTAATGGTTCAAATACTTCATCTTAACACAGTCATAAAGCCTGTCTAGTTTGCATGTAATGTTGTTTGTCACACTGTGCAGCAATGCTTTTCTTCTCGCTTCCCTTTTTAAATTTGAGGAAAAATGTTTCCTCCAGTAATTCTTTAGATTTATTTGATGTTTAAATTGAGATAAAAATTCATTTATAGCTGAATTGTTGCATCAAATTGAACCATTTTACGTACAGTCCTCCTCATCAATCGTTACATTTTTACCCATACAGCAGGTACGTTTTGGCTCTTTTGGTTTCATCCATGCTGCATAAACATGCACATGAGCCAATCGGTGTTTTTTAATCTCAATTTTTATATTAACAAGGGACAAACATAGTATTGATGAACACACACAGAATTATCAGCAGTTCCTTTCGGCTCTGTGGAGCATTTCAGTGTCTTTCACTTCACTGTTTTGTGTTTATGTTTCCTGCAGCAGGCAGCTGTTTTCATTTCCTGCTCCCCCAGTGAGCGGAAAATCAATTAATGTAGCTGAAAATATAATTAATAAATAGATAGCATATCGGCACATACTGTGTATTGACTGTTCGCAGGGGTTTTGGTATTGATTTTTGTATCACGTCAATGTAGCTTTTGGCCACTTGTTCTAAACAATGTGGCGCTTCAGACCGGGTTGAAACCCAGCTGGCTGTGAAACACAGAAATCTGACAACAAGAGCGTGCACCATAGGGGCGATCCCAAGATGGACCATTAAGACTGATGGGAGCACAAATCGTTTGAAGGGATTGGTCAGTCTTAGTGTGGATTACTGCGACACTAAGCAGAGCCTCTGATGGGATCAGCACATGGAAAGGGCAAATTAGTCTTAGGTGGCGTTCATCCACGACGCCTCGGATATAAAGCCCACTGGAGTAGATGTGATCTCGTTTGATGTTTATCCAACATGACTTGTGTCTGTTAAACATGCCATATGTGTGTGTGTGTGTGTGTGTGTGTGTGTGTGTGTGCGCGTGTGTTTTGCAGCCCACCAGAACCGCGTGTCGGATATGGTGTTCTCCCTGGAGAGCGAGTGGGTGGTGAGTACCGGCCACGACAAGAGTGTGAGCTGGATGTGCACCCAGAGCGGCAGCATGCTGGGGAGACACTACTTCACAGCCTGGGCCTCCTGCCTACAGTATCCTTCATTCACTCGCTGTGCGTTACTAGTCCATAGGAGCATCCCTCAGTTACGTTAAGCCTGTTGAAGCCGTGACTCTCCGCTCAGATACGACCACGAGACGCAGCACGCCTTCGTTGGCGACTACTCAGGACAGATCACGTTGCTGAAACTGGAAAAGCAGACGTATTCCACAATCACCACACTGAAGGGTCATGAAGGTAAAGACACATAAAGAATCACTTCTATCATCAGCACAGGATTCGTTTTCTCACAGTGCAGCGTATCGCCTGAACACTTTATTTTGAAAATTGAAACAATTTGGCAAAATAAAAGTGGTAAAAGCTAAAATATGGATGCATGCTTTGGGAAGTGACAAGCAGAAGGTGTGAACAGATGGAGGTTATTTGGAATAGTTAAATATGCTAAACCACTGGTATTTCCTGTAACCACCAAACTATATTATGTCAGAGTGGAGTGTTGAGCCACAACTCACTGCCACAGAAGGTCTGATAAAAGCCTGACATTTCCTCTGTGAGTGAGCACAGTGTCTCGGCAGGATGTGACACCACTGCTCCACAAACAATTTCATTCCAATTCCATATTGGACGACGACGATAATGGAAAGTACTATCTCACTCGCAGCTCCAGAAATCCCCATCTCTGCTTGTTTGGGTTGAGATCTGGTAACATGCTCATCATTCTGTTCACTGTCCTTAACACGGTGGAAAACTCCCTCTCATCCTGCATCATCAAAGGATGAATATATTACTCAGATGGGAGTTATAATCAGGGGTTCAGTGTACTTGAAGCGGGGCCAAGAAAATGAATCCCATAACAACAACAACAACAACAAAAAACTCCGTTGCCAGGACACTTCACTGTGTGAAACAAACACTCGCCTGTGCCATTTATCACACAGGAGCTTGTTGAGAACAGGATGAGCCAGATGAGGCGACCATGTTAGTGTGTCGTATGCATGGTGAAATGTAGAAAAAGGTACAACCGTAACATGTTTTTTTTTTTTTTTTTTAATTTCCTACCTGTCTCTTTGATCTGTAAATGAGCCTCGGCGCTCATGATAATACATGTTAATGGAACTGATGATACATATTAATGAGCGCAAGGTGGAGTCCCTTCCAAATATGTAATGGAAATTAGGATGGAAAGCTCAGGCTACACATCGGAGTGAGAGAAACTCTTTTATTATTTATGAGTTTTGCTATTGCTACCTAGCTAACGTTAGCATTAACAGCTGTTTGCTCACCAGTCTAGAGGAAACATTGCAAGTTCAGCATCAAACTTTATTCTTTCACTCGCCAACAGCTGTCTCCAGAGGCGGAAACCAACACCAATGTTAACTCTTGTCTCTATCACGTCTTTCTACTGAAGTTAGCACACTGCAAGAAACCACATTCGGCGGCAGAAAAAACGTACAAATAGCCCCTATTAAATATAATATGCAAGTATAATATAAATGTACAGTACGTTAACAAATTTCCTGACTAGATATACTCTGAAGTATTTCTTTTTCTTTCCTGTCAGCTCATGGAAAAGTAGCTGCAGCAAAGGAACATGAAGTTATAACTACTGTTTCTCCACATTGGCTCAAACCGTTGTCAATAACTCGGCTATGAATGGAGCTTCCGCTGTTTGGTTTCCCCTGTGGTTCATGCAGCTACAGCCTAATCAGTCCTCCACCACCTGCCACAGGCTATAATTCATCATATGACTGGTCTGAGTTCAAGATCAGTTCTGTCCCACGGTTCCTTTCCTGTGCATGCTCAATATTTTACAGAAAACGTGGACAAAAATTACAGTTTTGCGAGTCGGTTTTTCTGGAAAATCTGTGATTCAAGCAAACAGAAATGCAGTTAAAAGCATTTTAAGTTATCATAGCTGTGGGTTAAAGGGCTTGTGCGTAGTAGTGTGTGGTATTTTGGCTACAGCCACAGAAGGCTGGTGTGTTTATCATGTGTTATAAGCTCTACCCTCTGAGATGAATGGACAGATGGTCTGTGTCGGGTGGATGATCAGCTGAATACAACTGAGTTCACAGAACAGGACAAAATCTTCATTTGCTCACCACTGGTCCCCTGCACTCCCAGTGAAGCGGACATGATTTATTTCCTTGTTGCTGCCCAAATGCCACTTCACATGTACCATTCATCATCATTATACTGAGAGGTTAAATATTGACTGTCATATGATCTGTATTTCATCTATTTATCTGTGAAGTAACAACAGCTTTCAGATAAATGTAGTAAAGTAAAAAGGAAATCATGTAATGAGATGATGTGGATATTTAAAGTTACACAAAATAGCTTGTTACTTTCTAACTGTGACAGACACAGATGGTGACAATTATCAAGTTGGTTAGCAGTACTAGCAACAACAAATACTGCTACTTCAATTTAGCGAGTGAGCTAACTAGCAAGAAGCTAACTAACATGTTTCTCACTCATTAGCGAGCTTCTGTCTACCTTTACCAGCTAGCCTCCAGCATTAATGCAAAATAATGTACCATACTAAATTAATTAGTTTCAGAATTAGGATTTTTTTAAATGTGAAATAATAAACATTTACATTATATTCATTGGGTATTCAGACACCTTCACTTGGATTAAATTACAATTTTTGCTCATCAATCTAAACTCAGTGACCTATAATGATGAGTTAAAACATATTTTAACAAATTTAAATAATTTAAAAATATATCTCATTTATTATTCAGACCATTTGCTTTGCTAATAACATACTTTAAGATCATAGAGTTGTGTCCCGCAGGAGTGCCACACTCCTTGGCAAGCAAGACTAAGCTAAGAGCAGCTCTTTCCTGGAGCAGTTAATGAGATACTGGTATAACTGGTATCCAGTAAAACACTGGAGAAAAAGAAAAGGGTGGGGGGGGGTCCTCCAGCTTCAGGTTCACAGTGTTTGGCTGGAGCTGCCTGTAGTTCCACTAGCATGCACTAGGTGGAGCCAACAGGTCAGACCATAACACTGTCCCTGTATAACAAGTGTGTGTTCCTTTCTCTTTTGACTCCTCCAGGAAGTATAGGAGCTCTGTGGTGGGACCCCGTCCAGAGGCTGCTGTTCTCAGGGGCCTCCGACCACAGCGTCATCATGTGGGACATCGGGGGCCGCAAAGGACGGACGCTATTGTTGCAGGGACACCAGTAAGTCCTACGCCGTTTCGTACATGCATGGAGGCAGAATTAGCTTTCCCTGGGAGGCTTGAAAACCTTTAATTAGGGAAATTGGACTGTAGGTGTTGAAATGACACACAGTTGCGCCACTTCATTTCCTTTCACAACAGTGTCCATCTTGTCCCTCTGTGACACTCGTCTCCTCACTGTCCTGTCAAAGGCAGCTCTCGGTGGTGTCAGTAACAGCTGTCCCCAGGCACTGACTCTGTTTTTATCTCCTCTTCTCAGTCTACGTGCATCTTTCAACGCTTCCTAGTCACCGGCAAAGCTCATGTACGCTGATGCGTGGCAGAGCAAGCCTTCGTAGATCCTGTTGCACCCCAGCAGGATTTACAGAGGTTTGTTTCTCAGACACCAATAAAAAGGAGAGTTGTCGTCCTCTTGTTGTCCGACAGGCGCTAAATCCTGTTTTGACCCGGTCTTTATCTCTTCTCAAGCCTTTGTGATGTCCTTCTCACTCCTTTTTTCTCCTTCCCCTGTATTAAATGTATTTAATAGACTTCTCTTTTATGGGATTAAACAGTAAAAATACTGATTGTAGCAGATTTAGATTAAAACAGTTTTCTGTATCAGTCTGTTACCCTCAGCTGCTAAACTCTCCACTATGTTCACCAGCTAGTTGCTAACTTTGTCTGTCTGCTGTTTGGGTCTAGGCAGACAGTGTGCGGTGTGTTTCAGGCTGTCCGTGGGTATTTTGTAAGAGCTGCTTCGATTTAACCTTACAAGAGATGTGCCTCTGTTCTTTGTCTCTGTTCTTTGACTCCCTCAGCGAACGTGTTCAGGCGCTGCGTTACCTCCAGTTGACGAGGCAGCTGGTGTCGTGCTCGGCCGACGGAGGCATCGCAGTGTGGAACATGGACACGCAGAGAGAGGAGGTTTGCTTCACTGCTGCTGTGACACAGTTACAGTCAGATACAGGGTTTACAGTTGGATCCACTCTTTAAATCGCCTTATTTTTCTAATTGTATTATTTATGGTTTGTAATAGTTCTTCTCATAGATGTTAGTGTGAAACACAAATAATACAAGAGTTGGACTTGTTGTAAAAAATAAATACTCCAGTGATGATGTAACTTTCTGAAATGCTAATTGACAATAAATGTTAAAGCTCCAGCTGCTCACTCAGTATATTAGTCAAAGTAGTATACAGCAGTTACCATGGAAGCTGTTAGGATTTCTCATCTTTATTTTGGGCTCAGTTGCTGCTTGCATGAGAGTTTTTGCATCACTTTTCCACTTGTAGAGTCAATTCAATTTAGTGGGCTTCATTGTGGTGTTTCTGCATGTTTTAACATTGGTCTTAAACGTGTCCGTGTCTCTGCAGGCGCCTCAGTGGTTGGACAGCGACTCGTGTCAGAAGTGTGAGCAGCCTTTCTTCTGGAACATCAAGCAGATGTGGGACACTAAGACTCTGGGGCTCAGACAGGTACGAGAGCGTGATCATTGTCCTTAAGCGGCGGCCGTTCACCCCGGCCGTGAGTCGCTCTGACGTACGGGTGTGTTTCCTGTGTTACAGCACCACTGCAGGAAGTGCGGCAAAGCTGTGTGTGGAAAATGTAGCTCAAAACGCTCCACGTTCCCAATCATGGGCTTCGAGTTCCCAGTGCGTGTGTGTGACGTCTGCTTCGACACCATCAAAGAAGAAGAGTGAGTAAAGGCCTGCTCTAAGTATTTGGTCACGTTGTACACCTGTCTTCAGAGGGCAACTCTGATTAAACGCTGTCATTGTGTGTGTGTGTGTGTGTGTGTTGCAGTCGAACACCATTGGCGACGTTCCACGAGGGGAAACACAACATCGCCCACATGGACATGGACCCAGCCAGAGGCCTGATGGTCACTTGTGGAAGCGACCGCATTGTTAAGGTCAACAACAGTTCTTTCATACCAGATAATTCATGCATGCGTTCAGCCTGTAACACACACACACACACACACACACACACACACACACACACACACACACACACACAGTGAACCTTCTACACAAAACTCAAACGAATCAAATCAGTATCATTTCCTTCACACTGCTGTTAACCTAGATTCATATCGCTGCAGGCAGACCTAAACCCAAAGCCTCAGTGATATATAAGTCATGCTAACGTTAGCTATGTAGCAATAGCAAAACTTGAAATATGTCCGGCATAAATCACCATGGATGGAAAAAATCAGCTATTTTGATAATTACTTTAATAACTGAAGCCATTTTTCATGCAGACTGTTGTGTATGTAATGACAGCTAATAACCGTAATAATTATTATTATTAATTATACTAAATTTAGCCGCAGGTGTTGAGCAGGATCGTTGGGGCATGAGGTGGTTTTTACTGTTTGTGTTTAACTTAATAGTTAATAGTTACTTAAAAGAGGATTTGCTGCATTTCTTTATTATTTCTGACATTTTATTAACCATATGATACATTGATTAATTAAGAAAATATTTGGAAGATTAATTGACAATTAAAATAATTGATAAGTGTTTGTCTCGTGTGGATTATGCCGGCAGATGGTTATAAAAACTTTCTTATGGACATTTTTAATTGTCCACATTTCTTTCCCACCATGTAAACTTGTCGCTATTGAGCCTGATAGAATAGAATATAATAGAATAGATCTTTATTATCATTGTTAAAAAAAACAATGAAAGTTATTAAGTTAAGTTCCATTAAAAAGCAAACTACAAACTTTCAACCCTACAGGAGTTAAAACATGAGATTTTTGGTGACGTATCACTTTGAGTTTTAAGTTGTGTAGGTTCTTGTGGTGCATGTTTTTTTGTTTGTTCCTTTATTTCACCTTTACTTTATATCCATTTCCTTTGCATCATTTGGTTGAAATGATCTGTGATAGAAAAGGTTAATGACCTGAGAGCAGAGTAACATTCAGTTACATTCAGTTCACCTGACAATAACAATGCAGCTCTGTACCAGGCCTCCTCCTGTCACTGTTATTGGCTGTTTGTCTCCACAGATCTGGGATATGACGCAGGTGGTTGGCTGTAGCTTAGCAACAGGCTTCTCTTCGCGCTGATTGGCCCAGCCCACTACATGCTTCTCCCTGTGCTCCGCCCACTCTTCCTGTTACATGGAAACCCCTCTGTACAGTGCATCTCCCCATCACGCCTGGGATCTTCTGCTGCAACCAGGCCTGTTCTGGGTGAATGGGTGAGTGTGAGAGTGAGTGTGTGTGTGTGTGATAGTGTACCCCTCCACAGTCCTTTTGCTTCTCATAAACAAACTCTTTAATTTCACTAACTGTCAGTCCTACATGAAAGTGTGTGTGACTGATTTTTGACTATTTGCGCTGATCCGAAACAGAACCCTAAGCACAACAGTGTGTGTGCGCGCGCGCGTGTGTGTGTGTGTGTGTATGTATAAGTGTGCATGTATTGTAATGGTTTCTCCTATGGGAGGAATTGTATTGATATTAGTGTTTACATTCAATATTTCTGATGCTTCTTTTGACAAAGGTCTTTTTCTTTTTTTTATTATTACCCCTGCACTGTAAAATTTGGTTTCATGGAATCGACCTGCCATTCACACTAGCTTCTCCTCCTTATTAATGTGGCCCACTAACTGCATCTTACTCAGTCACTGTAACATGTACAAAACAAACCCTAATCATCTGTATATAGCTGTGCATCATGTGTATAGCAGATACTCGCTTGAAATGACTCGCACTGATCAAAGTGATCAGCTTTGTTCTGTCTTTTCTTTTTTTCCTCTCTTAATCTGTTTTTGTTCCTCTCTTTCACTAGTTGGCCTTAAATCACTCTCAGGAGGTTTTACATCAGTAAATTGGGGGCGGGGTCTGTTCATGTCAGTCGTCACTGTTATTAAGACGTGATTACTGAAGAGAAGACCGGCTTCTTTCTTAGTGGATTAACTAAATCTCTTGATAAACTGCCACAGAAATTTGATAAAGTCGACCCAGCCTCCACCTCATGATCCCAGGTGAGGCAAACTGGAATATGTTGCCATAGTAACATTTCCTGATGTTTCTATTCCCAGCCATACTGATGTGTACCGGTGAAATTAACAGTTCAAGGTTTGATTAGTGTGGGTTTAAGTCTCCAACTTTACTTAGAAACGAGTTTAAAATATATATATATATATATATATATATAAATATTTATATATATATATATATATATAGCACAGCATCACTGTCTCCTAGGTGATTCTCACTCCCTTTAGAAAACTTGTAGAAAACAAACACAGCACTGATGGTGTAAACCCGATGCCTCATGAGAATTAGTTTTCATCTGTAATCTAAAAGGATAAAATATATAAATATTAATGTTTTTTTTGGTGTAAATTTGAGTTTCGTGCCACCAGAAAGGCAACAGGTACTGGACAGGTACTCCAAACTAAATGCAGCAGTAACAGCTGTCATGTTGAATCGTCCGCCCCCCTCCCCCTCCCTCCCTGCTGAATCGTGGGTCAGATCAGGGGTGCCTGTCTCCTTTCAAAAAAGCCTTAAAGAGAGACGGATACACTCACAAAGCCTTTTTTAGTGGTTTGTCAGTGCTCGCAACTGTTTCATTCACTCACTCACTCACTCACTCACTCACGCTCGTTCACTTTCTCACGCACTCACCTCATTACGAAGCTCTGGATATCTCTGGATATCTTGACGGCATTTCATGTCTTCCTGTCTTTTTCACTTCCTGCTCTGAGCTCTCCTCCTTCCCCTCACAAATCTGTGTGCATCAAGGACGTCTCATTACACTCTCACCACTGCACTGAATTGCACAACTCGGTGGTCTTTGTCTTTGAATCAAAACCTTCTTTCTTTCTTTTTCTAAGTTCAGATTTGGGAGGGATAATAGCTGAATTCGATGTAGCGTCCCTGTAAATAGCGGCTAATATCTTCTAATGTTAGACTTGATGCTTGCCTTATTGTAAGTGGAAAAATGAGCATTATAATGTCGGGATTCCTGATTTGAAAATGTAGTCACATTCCAGTTTTCTGATCATGTAGTGTATATTTATATTTGTAGTAAAGTATTTATCTATTATCACTGTAAATGTTGTTTACTTTTCTTTGTGCCCATCTAATAGTCTTTATTTCTGTCATAGTGACAAACAAAAAACATGTTGAATGCTCTTTATGAAGCAAACTCAGTAATGTTGAGATGAGCTGCAGTGTTTTACATCTTAACACGGACAGATATCGACTGGTTGATCGCGTGTCAGCGGTGGTTACAGCCTCTATTGTTTCCCCACACACACACAGTGTCACACAATATCATACTTGGGGTTAGACTGATTGATTTGATTTGTCAGTAGCCAGTATTTTATTTTTAAATCTGAACATCCCTCTGTCGTTTCCCTTCAAAATCAGATTTTTGTAAAAGGTGAAAAAACCTCAAAAGACAGGACTTTCTCCCAAACAGGAGTGAATTCAGAAAGCTCTTGGCCTTAAAATGATATAGTTATAACAAAAAATTACAAAATATATTCCGAAAGCTGCAATAATTAATTTTTTTGGGCCACTTGGGGGAAGTGGAACAAGCTGTTAACACAACATTCATGTACTGTATGTAATACCTCGTTATAAAGATGTGGTGAATCTGCTAGCAAACAGTTAGACAAGAAGCAACGTTTGCATTCAATAACAGCTGTGTTTCTGGTTAATTTTTTGTCCACTTCCTGTTTACCACGCCCGCAGGTAGTGTACAAGGGCTTTATCAAAGCATCAAAACAGGGAGATTTAAATCATTTAAAGCTCCACAGAGCTGAGCAACTGCAGAGATAGGTGATAATTTTCTGTGGGGTCATAGCAAGAAGTGACATCTTTCACATGACACTGAGCCATTTGTGCTATTGTTAATATGAAAATATTAATTAGTGCAGCTTTAAAGTCTTTTGTTTTAAAGACTCATATTATAACTGAACTTCTGTCGTATCTGAAGTATTGAACTTAAGTTGGCTGAACAATTTTTAATCAGTCAACAGCACTGGCAAACTGATCTCAGTCCAACCCGTAAGTGTGATTTTAAAAACTCATAAAAGCGTCATCAGGGATCTACAGGGTTATTGACGATGCTACCGTACAATCAGGAGTCAAAGCTCTCCCTTCCTTTTTTTCTGTTAACCGGACATTGAAGCCTCTTCCAGTCATTACTCCTCATCATGTCACTGCAACAAATCACATTTAGTGATAAACAGAGTTTCTCCACAGCAGATGGACAAGATGTTAAAGATATGATGGATGGGCAGGATTTGCTGTTTGCAGAAGCAGCTAATGAAATAGATCTTCAGATTGTCGGACCGTCACAGGAAGGAGGGGAGTAGATTTGTGTCGCGCTGTAAATGGTTTATCGTTTGTTTCACCAGATGGAGCGTTTATAGGAGTCGTTTTGTTTCTGTCATCTTTTAGTTCATTAAACACTAGAACGGATGGCCTTCATGTTGATGGGAGGCCATCAACACTTTTAAACATGAGTCATTTTCCGAAAAACACCGTGGCCCATAAACTCAAACTGTGTAAATTGTTTTCTGCTTGGTTTGACTTTTTCCTCTTTGAACTGCTTGTAAAAAAAAAATAAAGAAATAAATAATAAAAAAAAAAAATACACTTGCTGTTCCAACATGATGTTAATGTATATCTCAAAAATACTTGTATTTTTTAAATACTTTTGCTGACAATACAGTACTGACATTAGGCTCTCAGTGCCCTCAGACACAGAGAGTGAATCGATGCTTAATAAAGATATTCTGATATGTTTATTTGACTGTTTATTTGTTTGTTTGTTTGTTTGTTTTCATGTCGCCGTGCCGGCAGGTTGTCCGTCCGTCCCGTTGTCGTGGACACAATATCTCAGTAACGCCTTGACAGAACTTCTTCAAATATGGCACAAACGTTCACTAGGACTCAAGGATGAACTGCTTAGATTTTGGTGGTCGAAGGTCAAAGGTCAAAGGCGTGGTGACTTCACAAAACATGGTATTGGCCTTGTGAACGCCCTGAGGGAATTTCTTCAAATGTGGTAAAAACGTTCACCTGGACTCAAGCACACAGTGATTAGAATTCGATGGCTAAAGGTCAAAGTTCAAAGGTCAAGGTCACAGCGACCTCACAAAAACATGACTTTTTGGACTTGTGAATGCAATATCTCCAGAACTCAGATTTGGCACAAACGTTCACCTGGGCTCGAGGATGAACTGATTAGAATTTGGTGGTCAAAAGGTCAAAGGTCACGGTGACCTCAGAAAAACAAAATTTCACACAAATGGTTAATATTTTATGACTCTGGATAAACAGGGATGTAACATGGATTTAGTCTGAGTGGCAGAGGCGGGGGGGGGGGGATTTTTTAGCTGCACAATGACACAGAAAAGTTATTAATGTTCTTTATTCAAACGTGCGTTTACAAGACCAAAGACACACCAAAGTCAGTCAGTAAAAGGCCTTTTTTTTTTTTTTTCCTTTCTTCTTTTTAAAAGGTGCTGGACAGACAGATTTTATAGCACATGTCAAGTGATGCTGCTGTGTTTTTGTGTTTAAGGCACACGGCTCATAGAGAGAACACTTCATCTCCAGCCTGAGCTCAACCTGCACAGTACAGTACATCACATAAATGAGTTAATACATAGCTGTTTATTAATACACGTCAACAACATGACACTTTTGTAAATCACGCAGACAGTAGCATCAGACTGAGCCCATGACTGGTATCATGAATTAATAAGGGGAGGGGGGGTGTGTGTGTGAGTGACTTTTGGTCACATCAGATTCCCATCTGATTGACAACTTCTGTAAAGTCACAGAAACAGACTGGGCGGCTGTTTGTGTCTCTCTATCAGCAAGAGAACCTCCTCAGAAAACAGCATCACTATCCATCACTCATAATAAAGTTTCACGGTGGTTGAGCTCATGAATAAGAAAATGTATTTATCGTATAAATAGTTAAAAAGCATTAAAAAAAAAAAGTTATAGGCGAGTTTAGTCTGGGTTTCCATTTGTCCCATTTTAAACCAGTGAGCAAAACTAACCAGATCCATCCTGGAGCCCAGCCTCGGTCAGTGTGAGCTGATGGTGTTAGTGTCGGTGGTGTACTGGTTCCCAATTTCCTGCTGCCTCAGTGGGGCTGGAACGTCTTGGCCAAGTCCTCCAGCAGAGACATTAACTTCTGCTCCTCCAGGGGGGAGCTGTGGGTCCAGGCCAGTGGCAGGTGGGTGGACACCATCTTTCGGTCTGAGCAACAAACACACAGACGGTACATGTTCACATTAAGCATGTATACTGGCTCATATATTATGGTATATACTGGTTCTAATGTTAAGGAATACTGGAATTAATAATTTTTTAATGTCTTTTTCTGTAATGTCTTGTCTTAATAGTCTTTTTAATGCCACACTGAATGTAGTTTAATACCTGTTTCAAAATCACAGCTGCCAAAGTATGAAAGTGTGATGAATACCCAGTAAAGAAGATATTGGTCATTAATTATTCATTATTATAGTTTTTTTTTTTTTTCAGTAACTCCCTGCAGAATATGACAATAATTTCAGGTGGCAGAAAAGAAATTGATGGATTAACCAATGAAAAATGATTAACTCACAATCCACTGTCACAACTATCCCACTTTTAATTTATAGGTTTTTAACGTCTCCTGAAAATTAACTACAAAACTCAACTCTTTACTAAAGGAAACTAAATTAAGACGTTGTAGGACTTCTCAAGAGCTGCAGACACGGTGATGTGAAGACTTGGTTTTCAACAACAACCAAACACAAGCAAGAAACGGCGGTTGATAGAAACACTACAGCCTGACTGAACCACAGCATTTCAGGAAATATGTCAGTAGAATATTTTTTCTATTCATCACTATGATCCACAAAACCAACCACTGACGTCAGAACGAGTGTGAGTAGTTGCAAATGTTGAATTTTATTTATTATAATTATAATTTTATTACTTAATTAATGACACTACATGTAAAAGCCCAACTAGGGACAAGAGTTGAAAATTAGCAGTGTCTCTGCAACACATCAGTTTCATGCATAATGCATAAAATCAAGTAAGAAACTTTTTCTTTGAATGAAAAACTTTCTTTATAAACAGTCTTTATACACTGGTTTTCAGCTTGAATGGGAATGCCAAAATCAAAATTCATCAGTATTGCCGCAGTAATAGTAAATATTTCCTTCGCTGACAGCTGTTATGATTTTGGCACCTGTAGCTGTTCGACTGAGCGAGTGTAGACGTGAGATAAAGCAGCGGAGAAAAAACCAGACAGACAGTTTGACTGGTGTTTAGTGAGACGACTCAGATATGTCAGAGTTTTCCCACAACCAAAATCCAAACAGACACGATGTGATGTGACGCGACGTGACGTCGCCTCCTCATCGCTGTCACTTCAAACTGGTATTCGGTGAATAAAAGCGGCGAGTTTGATCAACCTGATCAAAATAAAATTAAAAACAAGGACAGAGGACAGAACTGCCTCATGTTACATCACATTAAAAGATGAACGCTGAAGTGTGTTTTTCTTACAGCCTTCCTCCTCAAGGCCACTGGGGTCATTGTGTGTGTGTGTGCATGTATACCAAAGTGCACTGGCGTGTGTGTGTGTGTGTGTGTGTCTGTGTAATCACAGAGGCACTGTACACTCTGGTAGTATCTGGCACCAAAAGCAGCCCACTCCAGCTGCAATGGACACAGGCCAAACTCTCACACACTCACACACTCACACTCACACACACACACACACACACACACACACACACACACACCCCATCTAACGCACAACTGACAAACACATAGTTCAGCCAGCAGTGCTCTGTCCTCTCCTCTCTTCTCATTCTTACTGTTTTCTGATTAAATTTTTTACTTTTGTGTGTGTGTGTGTGTGTGTGTGTGTTTTTTTTTTAACATAAACTCCTCATAGATAAATTTGTATAATGAACATGTTGGAGTTTCGTTTCTGCATCGTACCCTGATAGAAGCTTCCACTGGGGTTTGTGGTTGTGGCCTCGGACACGGCCAGCCACACCACGGTGTCGGCCCCCTGCTCCGGGGTTCGCAGGCTGTCCTTCATGGAGCTATGGAAGTCTGGCATGGCGTTGGCCACCGCTGGGACACAACAGGGAGAGAAACAGGATCAGATTTTTTAAATAGGGAATGATTTTTTATTAATTTTATCCAAAAAGTGTCAGCAGTTATCTCTTGTGTGTGTGCGAGTGGTGGGCGGTTACCTGGAGTGTCCACCCAGCCAGGATGCATGACGGAGAAGTGGATGTTTGTGTGAGTCTTTGCCAGCTGGTCTGTCATCACCACCTGCTGCCTCTGTAACACACACACACACACACACACACACACGAATAAACATGTCTTAGAGGATGGACTATAAGCAGGTGAAGTCAGGTGTCATTTGATGTTTTCTGTGACATCATACAAAAACAAGATCCACCTGACATGGGCTTTTGAGAGGCCGATACTCTTAGTTAAAGTTTTGGATTTGCGTTTTGCATTTGATACATTTTTATATTTTGGCCAAATTCATCTCAAAAATTTAGTATGTGATTCATGAATGATCTCAAATCAATATCTACTGCAGTATCTCCCCTGTAGAGCCCGACAGTCTGTCAGTGACAGTCTGGTCTGGGATCAGGTCTTACTTTGTGCTGGGCGTAGACCATGGTGCCGTCGTAGCGGCCTCTGTCAGACTGCAGGTTTCCTGTCCTGAGCTTCTGCACCAACATTCCCCCCGATGACACTGTGATCTGAACATGGAGGAACGGAGACCGGGGTGAGGGGCAGGAGAGGGAGCTGCGGTTTTTCAGAGGTCATGATATAAAATCCAATTATTCCAGTTATGTGTATATGCTGTATTTTAATCTTCAGCGTGTACACTGGTGCAACAGTAAGTAGGTTTATTTAAATACTTACAGTACATACAAAACCAATAATCACCTTATAAGACATGATGCACTGTTCAAAATTATACTACTGCTTACATAAATAATAATAATATTGTATTATAATATAAAAATAACACTGACTTTTACTGAGTACATTTTTTATAATCTTTTTGTATGTGTGCAAAACTAAAGGAGTCATGGACGTGTTTAAATTCCTCAGCAAATGGTGTGAAGACTCGCTGTTCAAGGCATGTGAGCCCATGTGGTATTCGCCCTAAACATTAGGCCATCAGGTCGCCCCAACCTGTCTGTGTTATATAAAATAACAGGGAGCAATCAGCCACATCTGGATAAGATATATATGATACCAGGCCCATTATCAGAGATAACACTCATCCAGAGCATCTCTTATTCTCACTGCGACCACCGGGGAAGTGTAATCGAAGCATCAAATTGAACATCGCTCGTTTTAAAAGACAGGCTGTAAGACTTTTCAACAGCCTGCAGGTGACAGGGACAAGACGCTGCTAACCCACTGTGCTTCCTGTTGAAAGTTCTGAGGACTTCTGTGAGATCAGACAGACCTACAGCAGAGCAGACAGCGGGAGATTTTGACCATGTGAAACAAACAAAAAGTTGCGTCTCTCAGACTCACCACTCTGGGATCTGCGCTCTTCTCCAGCAGAGGGATGAGACTCTTGGTGAGGATGTAAACCCCTGGTGGGAAAGACAAGGATGAAACAACACTTTTAAAAATCTTTCCTTCTTCTCGTTTCCTTCACACCTCACCACCTGACCTTTGACTCACCGAGGACGTTGGTGGCGAAGCTCTTCTCCAGCCCCTCGGCGTTCACATCCCTCTGGCTCATGATGGCGCCTGCGTTATTGATCTGCACACACGAGGCAATATTTCTTCTTACTTATACTGATCAAAAACATATCAGATCGAATCAACACTGACATACGCAAACGCCATATATTCATATACGCAAATGTGACTCACCAGCACGTTCAGGGCCTTGTACTTTCTCTTGAAGGCCTCAGCAAACTCCCAGACCTTCTTGGTCTCAGACAGGTCCAGGACGTGGACATACACCTCCTGTAATGACACCAGCCATTTGGAATAATGAATAATGAATCATGTCTGAGTCAGTTTGAAGGTTGTCTGTCCCTGTGTTTTTTTATTTCATTTTTTTAATATCTGTGGAGGAGTCATACTGTACCTTATTTCCCGACTCCTTCACGATGTCAGCCCTGGCCTCCTCGGCCCTGTCCTTGTTCCTGCACACCATGTGGATCGTTCCACCTGTGACGGAGACAGAAATTAACATCGCTCTGTTATAATGTGACGGAGCAGCTGCAGAAAACAGGAGAGGAGTGTTGGATTTATCATCGGCTGCCTGTGATGCATCAAACTTAACGTGAGCTACAGTGAAACATACAGTGGACAGAATATACAAAATATTACTCTAAAATTTAGAAGGTCTCGTCTCTCACCTTTAAAATCCTCCCACCTTTAGTTTTGTGCAGATTTAATGAGGCAAAACAAAAGGACTGTGGAATAAAGCTTCAACATTTCTACATAGAATTTCTTTTTCTAAAGCTGTTATAATGTGTTAGACTGGACCTGAACACATCATGGGGAGGTGCATATGCCATACTCTAGCTTTAATTAACATCTTAAATAAGGTGAATATGTCAGGATTTATAGTTTCTATGACACAAACTGTAAAGTTTTATATTTTCTAAAAGTAATTTTTTTTTCTATTTTATGTACAATATGTGCAATTTACAGATGCAGATGGGTGAGCTTACATGACAACCACTGTTTATTCAACTTAATGATGATGGGATGATGTGTATATGTATGGAAGTGTAGGCACCTGTATAATATGTCACAGAGGTACAAGTATGTACTGTATACCTGCTTCACATACATCCTTAGATGCTGTGTTTGTGTATGTATGTATGTATGTATGTATGCATGAACGTTTGTTAATGACATAACTGCAATATAATAGATAATCAGTGGTTTGGTTGGTACCTCTCTTGGCGATGGCCATGGCGGTGGCTTTCCCGATGCCACTGTTGGCCCCTGTTATCATGAAGGAGCGTCCGGCCACGGACACCTCCAGGTCCTTCTCCACAAACCTCTTGGAGGCCGACAAGAAGGCATTCCTGCAAGAGATCAGCGTTTACCACATCAGCAGCGTTTACCACATCTGTACTGCCGCATCTCTGCCTCAGTGTGTGTGTGAGTGTGTGTGCGCGTGTGTGTGTGTGTGAGTGTGTTCAGGTCATAAAGGCTCAGTGTTTGAGGTCAGCCTGCGTTACTGTATTTCCCTTCAGAGCTTTACTGTACAGATACAATGAAGGAGAGAGGGTGCCTGGCATTGTCTCTGGGGTTTGGGATGAGACTAGTGACAGCAGCATCAGAGTGTGTGTGTTCGTGTGTGTGTGTGTGTGTGTGTGTGTGTGTGTGTGTGTGTGTGTGTGTGTGGCACCAAGGACCTCAATTCCCCCCATTGTCCTGGATGCCATTGTTGAGGGCGGCTGAAGGGGGGGTGGGGGTGGGGTGGGGGGTACTACTGAGGCTAAATGCCCGCTCTGTTCAATGGTGTCATGCAGAGAGCTATTAGTGCAGGGTCAGAGCGGGTTGCCGGGCAGCTCTCTGCGAGAAAAGATAACACAGAACAAAGGGGAGAAGGGAAACAATCACAAAAGCACCTCTTCAGACAACTTGGCGTTCTGTGCCGTGATGAGGAGAGGCGCCGCAAGGCCGCCAAGCATCGGATAGGACCGATGTTGTGGTTGAACATCTGTCTTACATGACTCCTGCCGAGTCATTATCAACTTTGAGCAATTCATAACTCAGTGATATTCATTATGTTCATTCTGGTCAGTGATGCAATTAAAGGTTTGTACATAAGTTTCAACCTAACCTTCTTTAAATTTTGATCTTACTTCACATTATGACTGAAAATAACAATACTTATCATTATAAATTAATGTGGCTATTAGTTATTTTTTAAATTAATAGATTTGTTGAAGTGAAAATAATCACTACAGTTCCCCAGAGCTCAAGGTGAGGTCTTCAAATATCTTGTTTTGTCTGACCGACAGTCAAAAACTCAAAGATGTGAGAATGGGAACTGCTGGTGTAAGGTCCTGACCTCACCCTGTGAAGTGCATTGAGATAATGTATATTGTGATTTGGCACTATACATATTAAAACTGAATTGAAAGATATGTGATTCACAATGATATAAAAACACAGAAAAGCAGCAAATCCTCTCATTTGACATTTTCACATCATCATATTTTTGGTGTTTCTGGTTTAAAAATGATTGATCAGTCATCAAGATGACTTATTTTCTGTTGACCAACTCTTTGATTATCGCTTGTTTCAGCTCCACTTCTCTCGGTTCTAACTTTGATCAGAAATTTCTTCCAGACCAGTTTAGTTTAGTTTCCCCATTTCTATTCTATTCTATTCTGTTCTGTGTAGATTATGTAATGGGGTGGTCCCAACCCATCCTATATCTTAATGGCTATTTATATAGACACATACTGGTATATGCATTTTTTTTTCTTTTCAAATGACCAGAAACTTAGTGTAGTGTGACATTAGAAATCAATCACAAATAATAATGGTAATTTTAATTTTACTTACATAATGAAATAAACCAAAATTAAAGAAAAACTAAATCTATTTTATTTTCAAATTAAAAATTGAGCCCTACGGAAATGATCTCTTTTCAATAGAATAATTCTGACCCAGTGCAGAGACAAAAATTAGAATGATGCCTGTAAAAGTTTTCGCTCTCACAATGAAATTTTATATAAAATCATGAGGCAAAGAGAAGAAAGTTACACTGAGTTTGATACTAGTCAGTATTATAATATAGCCGTCACTTCACTCTTTACATTTTCGTCCATATTGAGTTTCTTTTATACAGTTTCTCTGAAGTTATTGCGACGTCCTGATCTTGAATAAGAGATTTTTCCTCCATATAAACAAACACACACACACACACACACCCACACCCACACCCACAGTAATGAGGATGCACACCTGAGGTCACAGACTGTCTCCAGCTGCACTGATGCAGTGCAGGGGCAGGACAAGTAAAAGCGTCTTACCTGGTGAACTCGGTCATTCCCTTCAGGAACCAGGCGGAGTTGCGGTACAGAGACATGGTGTCGCTCTGGAAGGCTCTCGCCGAAGCTCCGCTCTCTGCTCCGCTTTAACTCTGGAGCCGAACCACGTGGAGCTCCGCTGAATTCAATTAACGGACAGCGCGCGAGGACTCCAGCGACCGCCCAGCGGCGGGAAGGAAGGATGCATCAGTTCACCACCAGTGTTACCGAGCCTACAGACAGAAACATACAGTCCTATCACTCCTTTACTGTAGGCTTAGTCTACATCATGAGGTTGTAATATTCCTGCTGTTTGATTTCCCCTCTGTATTTAATTTTAATAGGAGTTTATCAGTTGGTGATTAATTTGAGTTTCAACATACAAGGAATTTGCTTTGGTGTTTTGGTGCATGACAAACAAAGAAATATAAACAGAGATGAAACAAGCAAGTAGCCTACTGCAGGTCAACATATAAATACAAATAAATAAGAATAAAATAAATATAAAAATAAATATTCATAGAAAAACGTAACAATAAGATAAAAATATTTAGAATTAAAATGTGACAAAATATAAATATATACAATACAAATAGATCTCATAAAAGAAATTATAGCAAAACAGAACTTTTGCCATTTCTCCTTTGAGATTGCATAATACAAGATAAATAATGTGGATTTTCCACGTGCGTTCAGCATCATAGAAATGAACGTGGCTTATGCCAAAACAGGCTGCACTAACTCGTGTGTGTGTGTGTGTGTGTGTGTGTGTGTGTGTGTGTGTGTGTGTGTGTGTGTGTCTTTAACTCCCGGAAGCCAATCAGCAGCTGGAGTGTGGAAGGGCGCGGCCCCGAGCGGCGAAGGTGTGCGCACGACCTGGAAGCAACATGTCGGGTCTCCCTAAAGCGCAGCAGGTGCAGTAGGATTCTAGGAAAGTATTCATCACAAACCTGCAGCATCTGAACCTGAGTGACTTCTGTCGGACCGCGCGTGACAAAATGGTGGGTATCCCAGCACGCTGCTGTATCTGGATGTATTGAGTTTAGTCCATGCACGAGAGATATGTCCTAACAAACGGTGTAATAAACGTGTTAGGAGTAGTTAAACTAAATTACCATTTTTCAAACAAGTGAAAACTACCGTCAGAAGGGAATTATTTAACTTTTTAATTTAACTTTTTACTTCGTGGCTGCAAATCAGTTCAGGTGAGTGACTTCCTTGATCAAAGGTCATAAAATTGATGGTGTTGAGTCACTGTCTTGTTTCAAGTTCCTGAATATTTCTTTTCCTTTCCTTTTTTTAACATGTGGAAATTACAGCAGAAAAATAAACTGTTCCCTTTTATTTAGAAAACAGATAAGATAAGAGTGAAAAGCTTAAAAACAAAAAGGACACTTGCAGTGAAACAAAGTCTGACAGTCAAATGAATGCAAATGTCTTTGAAATGCATTTAAAGAAAACATTACACCAGATAATCCAGATTCACAGACATCATCACACTATGTTAAGATGAAGTGTTTCCACCAGTAGCTGATATATTGTTGTCCTCCTGACCATGACCTGGTCCTGTTTTATCTTGCTGCAGCTGCACCTCGGGGCAAAGAGCTCTCATTAATTGCCCTTGCACAATGCAAGCATTGTATTTTAGTGTGTTGTAACACATCTCTATTACTTGAAGGTGATAAGGATGTGTTGTTGTGTTTCCATGGTGGTGTTTAGTCACGTTTCTAGTTGTGAAATCCGATTTCTGTTTGGGTGTTTTCATTTTAGTTGCAGTGTTATGACCGCAGGAGGGGTGAGTATCACTGAAGGCGTTTGTTTCCACATGTATCTGTATGTAAAGTTAACCCTCACAACACAAGATGTCCCTCCTGTTTGGTTATTTCGTAACATTTTCCACAGTTTTCCTTAACACCGCACCACACAAATGTGATAAATCAGTGTCTCCCACCACCTGTCATCTTCAGATGCACTTCCTGTTGCTGTTCAGTCGGCAGGGGAAGCTGCGACTGCAGAAGTGGTTCACGCCGGTAACGGACCGGGAGAAGAAGAAAGTGATCCGGGACATGATGATGTTGGTGTTGCCACGTCTACCACGTTCCTCCAACTTCCTCCAATGGAGGGACCTCAAGATTGTTTACAAGAGGTGCCTGCAACAGACACAGCTGTGTTTATTGTCTCTGATCACTACGAGTTATTGTGTTTTGTAAAATGCCATGTCATCGGCATGTCTTTCCTGGCCGGTACCGGCTTGGGTGTTGAACAAAACACACCCGTTCTCAGCAACGGGTTAACAAGACCTATAAAGAGTAAAGGTCGAGTTAAACACACAGAGCGTGACCCAGATTACTGGCAGGACAATGTTAGTGATGTAATAAAAGTAGAGTCACTGGCAGTAGACAAAATAACACTTCACAATATCCTGGGACCCAGTGCAGTAACCAATAAGAATAATTTAAGGGCAATATATAGCATCTTTATGAAGTATTTAATGAGGAATTTGTATTAAGTCTGTCAAACTCCCAGAATATGTGCACAGGCAAAACAGCAATAAAATCCTTAATCATCAGAGCAAAAGAGTGCACATGATTAATTCTAAAATGGTACAAATGATGTGCTTGTTTTTCAGTGAAATCCTTACATACTCACACAATCTATAATTTAATTTATGGCTGTTTTTTTCACTCCACGTAGACCCCTGCAGGCTGTCATATGAGGACATGTGCAGCCCAAAATGAGCTTGTAGTCTTACCTGGTTTCTTGACAACATTATGGCAACTGCTGCTGCAACATGTGACCTTTACCCTCTTCTAATTTCAGGTATGCCAGTCTGTATTTCTGTGCCGGTCTGGAGAACGAGGATAATGAGCTGCTGGCCCTCGAGGTGCTGCACAGATACGTCGAGTTGTTGGATAAATACTTTGGAAATGTGAGTGGAGCTGAATGTTTTGGTCCAAGCAGAATTCATTTGGTCAGGTGTTTTCAATTATGGTGTCTAATTAAGAGTTGTGTTCAGGCAGACCTGAGTTGGAGCTATGTGAAGACACCAAACCTTTTTTATAAATAAATTCCACATCTGGATCAATTCTGGCACACACAGAGAAAATGTTCCAGCTGTCAGCCAACAGGACAATCTGCCCAGACGTGGAAGTATATGGTGTTGGACTCTGGCAAAAACATTCAGAGCAGAGTGAGCGAGATGTCAGTGAAGTACACTCTGCACATGCTCACAACAGACCTGAGAAGAGGTCTAATCAAGCAAAGTGAGAACACCTGTGTGGGTGGACTGTAGCCATGTAGGACGACCTTCTCTCTCAAACACTACTGTTGTCAAAGAGTGAATTTTACACCGAATAATACTTATATTAATTATACTTATGGAGGTGATGTTCATCCAAAACTAAACTTACAATATGCGTCTAACTGTAGCTTGAAGGATCAGTGAAGTAGTAGACCAGAAGTGCGTTCATGTATTGATTGACAGCCGTGATCTCCCACCCCCTGACTTTGGCTTTCTCCGATTGGTTAGAGGCTTACTCAGAAACTTTAGGAGAGAAAATCTCTGCAGCGGTGCCAGGATTTGAAATGAGTCTGCACAAAAACGTTTGACAGCACCTCTCCACATTGAGATATAAATAGATATTTTGTGCATATTTCAACCACAAAATATCAGAAAATACATTAATTTATTTATTCTACTGCCACAAATCAAAGAAAATAGTGAGATTTCATTTTCTCTCTAAAAAGTCTGATAATTGTCAGTCATCATCTTGTGCAGCTTCATAACTTTGAAAGAGATATGACATACTAGACATAAGCTACAGTTTAAGGATGAATATAAATGTACTGTCTTAATTTAGCTAGTGTGCTAACTTGTTGCTTTGTCAGTTAGTCATTTTTAGATTTAAAACATCTCCATCGTGTTTTAAACGCTGGTGGTTCAGGTTAAAAGTAGTCGACTCTTTGAATTTTGTGTCAGTAAGATTTACTGCATAACAAAATCAGGTGTTACTTTTTGTTTAATGAGTCCATATTTTGTCATCCTGGATCAAATCATCTTTACAGTCCTGCAGTTGTAACAGAGATATCAATACCTAGCAGCACATTAATATAAATGTGAATACCTGAGTCTAAAGCCATGAGCATTAATCTGCTGCTTTAACAGACAGCCTCCGCTCTTCTGAGAAAGCTTTCCACAGGATTTTGGGATTTGGCTGCAGGGATTTGCTCCTGTTGAACCTCAAGAGCATTAGTGAGGTCCAACACTGATGCTGGGTGATAAGGCCTGAGTCACAGCTCACAGTTCATCACACAGGTGTTGGACGGAAGGAGGTTTCAGATCAGGGCTCTGTGCAGGCCGGCCAAGGCCTTCCACAACAACCTCAGAAATCAGTTTCTTTATGGGCCTGACTCTTGTTTACGGAGGGATTGTCATGTTGAAACAGGAAAGGGACAAACAAAACTGAAGCTGAAGCCAAGACTATCCGTCATACATCTGGCCATATAGTGAATGTCTGTGACACAGTGCCTGTGCTGCATTGCATACTACAATGACAAAGTAAAATAGGTGATCACAGTCAGAGTCAGTGGAAACAGAAAGCTGGATTCTTTACAATGTTTGAAAGTACAACTGAGATATTTCTGAGACAGTCTATGGTCAACTTAGAAAAGACACTGTGATACTCAGTGCGATTAAATACAGGTCAAACACTCTGAACTACAGTACGTCTTGTGTTAGACTGTGCAGTCCTCACTGTGCACATCCACATCACTGTGCTCTTTGCCAATCAGACTCCCCCTGGTGTCCATGAGATGCCTCTGCTTCAAGAACCACTGTGATTCACCTCAAAGAAAACAAGACGGGGGGGGGGGCAGATATGATCCAGAGTTTTCCAAGAACCTAAAAATGATATTTCAGGATACTTGGGGTTTATTTTGTTTTGTCATCAACTTGCTATATTCTTTAAAATATTCAGTTAGGGCTTGGTCATAGGGCTTTTTTTTCCTTATGGATGAATTTTCCTTCCATATCAGTAACCAACAAAGTGTATCTTATCTCTTCATCTATTCATTGGATGGTATATTGCTCTGCCTTCCTCTGTCAGGTGTGCGAGTTGGACATCATCTTCAACTTTGAGAAGGCTTACTTCATCCTGGACGAGTTTCTGATGGGAGGAGAAGTCTTAGAAACTTCCAAACTAGCTGTGGGCGCCTCCATAGAGGAGGCCGACACGCTCCAAGAGGTACGCTCAGGTCTCACAGACCGTTCAGCTAATGTAGGTTTCTGTTACTACTCATATGTACGAAACGTGTTCACGTGCCTCCTCTCTCACCGCAGACGATGGAGGAATACATGAGCAAACCTGCCTACTGAGCCGAGAGACGAGGAGGGTTTTCAAGACTTGAGCCAAAAGGTTTATGATCACACGGTCATACAGTAACCACAATCCTGGTGATTTTTTTTTTTAATGCTTATTACTTCAGTTTTAAGAGTTGTAATTGTGTTTGCATCTGCAAGTGCCTCATATTTATTAATCTCAGGGTTTATGACACATTTCATATCGGAATAAAAGTTTTAAATATTTAAATATGCGTTTGCAACCTCTGTAAGACGTGAAAGGCAGAGCGTATTTATGTTTAAATCGATGGATTGTGTGATGGTGAGTAAATGAGGAAACACGACACAGTAAGGAAAAAATAAAGTCAATGCTTTATTAACCTCAGGTATGTCACATATGACCACATTTAAGAAAGAATTACCAAAAAACACAAGTGAATCTAAGGGATCCAACACTGATTTTGGTTGTGTGTGTGTGTGTGTGTGTGTGTGTGTGTGTGTGTGTGTGTGTGTGTGTGTGTGTGTGTATAAGGCTGGTGAGTCCACATGTAGGCTACTGGTTGTTAAATGCTGTTGAGCAACATGTAAAAAAAAGAAAAGAAAAGCATCAAATGAATGTCCAAACATATTTTTCTGCTAATAAATAACAGCTTTTGTAAACCTACAGAAGAACTAAAGTTGACATGTTTTATTCTTTAAAATACTTTGTTTTCACCCTCCACCTCCACCAACACACACACATATATATATATATATATATATATTTATACTGTATGTGTATATAAATATAAATATATATATATATACAGCCTTATTTATATTCTTTAGACAGTTTTGCCATCACTGTCTTCAGTTTCTGGGTTCAGGTAGCTCAGCAGTTTCATCACTGCCTCGTTTTCAAAGCCTTGCATTTGCGTGCCCCCGCTCCTCTCGCCACTCTCCGACTGTCTCTTTTCATTTGGGCTTTTATCTGAGTCCATGTGATCAAAATAATCCTGAATGGCCTGTTCAAAAGAGCCTGTCACGCTCTGTCCAGCCTCGTCCCGCTTTTGGCTCGCCTTTCCATACGCGGGGTTCAGATACTGCGCCGGCATCTGAGCCGCTAAATACGCCGCCAGTTCATCCTCGTCCATGGTGTTGTCATAGTCGTCCTTTAATGTGGCGGGAAGGCGCCGCTGCGTGGGAGTGGATTCTCCCGGACGCCCCACAGGCAGAGTGTGAAGTCGTGACAGCGGGCTTTTGTACTGCTTCTGCTTCCTGGCGGGAGCTCGGTCCTCCGTGGCCCCAAACCCCAGGATGTTGAGGATTTCTTCTGTCCTCAGCTCCTCTGGGGATTTCTGACTGTCAGGGAGGCGTCTGCTGTAGAATTTAGCTTCAGGAATCTTGTGTATCTTCTTTGAGGATATCTGAGAGAGCTTGTTTTGTGCTCTGGTTAATTTGTTTACCTTTCGTGACCGCTCTTGATTCGTCAATTCTCCGGTTCTGAGCATGTCCATCAGGTCTTCAGGTGGAATCTGGTATTTCTGAGAGATCTGAATGAACTCGTAGATGGTTTGTGGGATGATATTATCTCTGTACTGCGTCTGAGCCACTCTCCTCTCAGCCCTCTTCTTCTCCTCCTCTTCCTCCTCTTCCTCTATCTCTCGCTTCTGCTCTTCTGCTTCGGTTTTCTCCAGCACTTTCAGGAGGTAGTAGTCCACCAGGTTGGCGACATCATCTGCATCTTTTGACCTCTTGACTGGGTAGCTTTCATCATCTTCGTCTTCATCGTCCTCATCGTCTTCTTCATCATTGTCGTCAACATAATCAAGCCCACGGTCTGCCTCATGTTTGTTGTCCCTCTCCTCTTCCTCTTCTTCTTCTTGCTCTTCCTGTTCTCGTAGCGGACCCCAGTCGAGCGCGAGATCCCTGCCTACGTCATCGTACGCCACATTCTTCACATTAAACATATCGTCGTCCTCTTCCTCATCATCATCATCATCATCATCATCCTCCTCCATGTCGTCCTCCTCATCTTGGCGTTTATGCACGGTCTGCGTGCTCGTCAGCTTGTCCAGTTCGTCAAACACAGATTGCAGCGTTGCCAGATTCTGAGGCGTGTACTTCTCCTCCACATTCTCATTGGTGCGTTTGAAGTGGCTCTCGTGCTCCAGATCTGGCCCCTCATCTTCATCTTCCTCACCCCCCTCACCCTCTTCCTCATCCTCAAACATTAGCGGCAGCTTCTTGTGGAGCAGGATGCCGTGTTGCTTCTGCTGCACCTTGGGATACATGCCGTCCCTCGTGACTTCTCCTTCGGCGCCGGGGCGAAGTGACTCTGGCTTTGACGCCTTTTCCGTCTGCTGGAGGGTGCTGAGCACTGCCTGGAGCAGCTCTTCACTCTTATCCTCCCTCCCCTCCTCTTCCTCATCCTCATCTTTACTCTGCACAGGGTTAGAAGCCAGTCTCAGCATCATACGCAGCTTCTCAGCATCGTCCACGTGGCTGGCGTCGTAGCCCGCAGAGAGAGGGTCGTGCTGCTGGGAGTCCGTGTCAGTTCTCTGACGGAGGCTCTCGATGTACTCCAAGGCTTTGAGCATGTCAACGTTAGGAGCCTGGTGGACATTTCCTCTCTGGGAGTCTGATTCACTTCCCTGCAGTCTGTGCTGTCTGAGTGCCACCCCGTGAACACCGGAGGAGCTGAGGAAGAGGAGAGCTAAGAGGAGGTGGGTGAAACAGACGAGGAAGAGTTTGCTTGTTGTGCAGGTCTCGGGGAGAGAGGGCATGGTGATGCCTGCAGAGGGAAGACAAAGATGCACATGTCAGCACTGACTTTTACACATTAAGCTAACCGGTTCACAACAGTTTTAGCGCTCTGGCATTCCTCTGTCATTTTTTGCTCTTATCACTTTAATTGTCTGATCTGATGATGACATCACAGACCGCGGAGACATTTGTATTGATTTAAAAGTTGAAAATCTGATCCATCAATTTCTGTTCTGGTGTAAACCAGTTGAAACAACTAAATTTAGTCCAGTTAAAAAAAAAACATTGTCATTGTTATTATATATAGACCTATTATTATTATTATATTTTTTGCTCTTATCACTTTAATTGTCTGATCTGATGATGACATCACAGACCGCGGAGACATTTGTATTGATTTAAAAGTTGAAAATCTGATCCATCAATTTCTGTTCTGGTGTAAACCAGTTGAAACAACTAAATTTAGTCCAGTTAAAAAAAAAACATTGTCATTGTTATTATATATAGACCTATTATTATTATTATTATTACCAATACTACTACTAATAATAATAATAATAATAACAATGATGATGATGACGATGTTTCCTTTTGGATGGTCTAGTGAGTCGTCACCACAGAGGATCACCTTCTGCATATTTGATTTGGCATCGGTTTTACAGTCGGAAGCCCTTTCTGACGCAACCTGGGTTTGGGGGAGCCGGGAATCGAACCGATAACCTGCTCTACTACCGGTGCCATGGCCCCCCTTTATAATTATAGGCTACCACTATTATTACTACTACTACTACAAATAACAACAACAACAACAATAATAATAACAATAATAATAATAATAACGGAATCCTGCCGCGTGTTCACCAGCAGCAGTAACAGCAGCGGCATTCGGCGGCTCCCGTGCAAATCTCATTAGTCGTCAAATTGCTGCTCACCATGAGTCACAGCCCCGTTGTCAAGGCAACCCGGTAAGGCTGTTGTTCACATGGAAATCTCTCATTTAAACGCTTAAAATCTCCAAACTCCAGTTATTACAGTTTTTTTTCACGCTTTAACTCAAAATGTTTAAACAAACCGCTCCCCAGCGGGATGAAGTCAGACTCTGGGTTTTTATAAACACGCGAACGAAAAGTGTTTAAATGTTTATTTTCATGCAAAAATCAAGGTTATGATATTATACAGATAGGTTAGAATTGATAAATAATAGTGATCTATATATAGATATACATAGCCTATATATAGACTACTATTATATATATATATTCATATAACATATTATATATATTGATATAGATATAAAATCTATATTGATAAACTACACAGGAACTTTTACAATTATAATACAGTAAGAAGAATGAATAACAGACCAGACGCTGAACGATGCATAATTGCTGTCATTTCGCCGTGTTTACTTTTTGCTTTTCCAGCCTTAATTGAAATTGTTCAACTTTACGTAGTTTTTTTTTTTTTTTTTTTTTTTTTTTTTTTTACATGTAACAGAGAAAAATTACAAGCGCCAAAGCGCAAGCAATTCAAAACAACACGTAGCGAAAAGAGAACAAAGAAACACGTCGCAACCTCTTCGCCTCCACATCTGTGGCGGTGCATCAGGTTGGTAAACAGCTACTGGAACAGAAGGAAGCTTGACTGACTAAAAACAAAAACCTCTGTGTTTAAATGAAGGGTGATAGAAAAGTATGCACAGTTTAGTGTAATGTGACTCATGCCGTTAACAACAACCGGGTCTTACCTTTGTGATTAGTTTCTGTGGAGGGTCGTGAGTGAGCTGAGCATCTCTCTGCCTCGAGCACTCGAGTCTGGTTTCAGCACCGCGGACAGCTCCTCACGCTATTAGAGGAAGCACCTGACTCGTGCGTCACAGAGCGAGGAGATACGCAACACACACACGAGCGCGCGCGCACACACACAGACATATAAATACACATATACATACACACACACATATATATACACACACACACACATATATATAGATATATTTATATATCTATATATATACGCACACGCGCAGGTAATTTGAGTCAGCCAAACAAAACTGCTTCGCTCTTTGAATATGAACTAAAATAGTTTGGAGGCAGCACATCTCACCGCTTTTGTCGCAGCTCGTGGTGAAATGAATAAATTCATAATGATGCTATATTTAGAAAAAAGTGACTGAATGATTGATGTGGCTGCGCGCTATTATGTGAAATAGTCTGTATAGGATGGCGCTCATTGGCCCATAAGTCTTAATATGTGGCGGTGAGTGAATGAATTAATGCTGTTAAATTGCTGATGAAAAAAGCTTAATAAATGATATTTATGATGCATTATGTTTCCACGCTGACCGGTACTGTAGCTTTATAGCAGCATATCATTTAGCAGTGTAGTAGTGACTGTTGCGCGGCCGTTGTCATTGACTGCCGTTTTGTCTTTGCTGCGGCACTGAGGGACAGAGACAGTTAAAGTCCACCGATGACTCACATATGGACTCCGCCAGAGCCTAAGACGGGCGGGGTGACAGAGGGACTGCAGAGGAGTGTGTGCGTGCTTGTGTATGCCAGAGAGAGAGAGAGAGAGAGAGAGAGAGAGAGAGAGCTCTTCCGTCAGCCAGGAGCACTGTGGTCTCTATTTTTGGCTGCCTGTCAAATCTTGTGTAGTATGGATCAGTGTGTGTGTGTGTGTGTGTGTTTGTGTTTACTTGCAGCTCCATTCATAAACCCCTCTGTTGCTGTATCTGATGTGAGCTCAGACTATCCTCCCCTGACCTGCTTGTCTGATATTCAGAGGCAGTAAAAACCAGGAAAAAAAGGAAGCTTCTTCAGCATGTTTGGGTTTGTGATTCTTCCCACTATGTTTTTCTGCCAGTATTTCTTATTAATCTCATTGAGAAACACAGAACCGTTCGTAAAACAGTCATTGTGGCATCTGAAAAGGTTCTAACACATTAAAAACCAAAACAATAATTTTCTTGTGCTTCAAAAGCCCAGTACTAAAAACCTTTATCAATCTCATTTAGGAACTTTAAAGACTCAGCTCTGTCACATTCACAACTTCTGGATATTGAGTCACACAAAATAATTTGTAGTGATCTTTTTTTTTTAATTAGAGAGCAGCTGTAAGTATTGAAATTTTTAAACGTAAACTCAAAACATACCTCTTCAGCCTGGCTTTTAGTCATTAGTCACTTATTTTATTAATTATTTTATTGTAGTTATGTTCTAAATTGTATCTATTCCATTGTATGTTATTTTTTTATTGTGTATTAATCTATTTTATCTGTTCTTTTTTTATCAATTTTTTTGCTAGTGTTATTATAGCTTTTTAAATCTATTATTGTATCTCATTGTCTCATTATTATCTCATAATTATTATTCCTGAATGACTGCGGTGAGAGTGACCTTCATTAGAATAAAGTCGGCCACTCTAATGTTGTCATACCACACGTTTTAGGATCAGGAGACCAAAAGAAAACCAGGACAAAAGAGCTGATTTTAATCTCATGTCTCCTTCAACCTAATTACACTCTCCCTCATGACTAACACACACACAACCATACATCCACACACACACCCACACCCACACATGCACACACAGTGCCAGTTTTGTACTGATAAAGCCCGAGCTGTCTGGCTAATTGCTTGTGGTTGTGTCTGTGGCAGGATTACTGGTAAACAGAAACCAATTACAGCTCAGTTCCACCCCCATTTCCACTGCCTGTCCACTACAAAAAAAAAAATGCAAGGTTTTTCTCAGGTCATATGAGAAGTTTCTTACTGGCAATTACTAGTTTTCCCATCCAGACGTATTTGCTGAGAAGTGTGGTGTGACTGTCTGGGTCACATTTGTCGTAAAATGGTGAATCTGAAACTTTAGCCAGCACAGGAAGTGGTGCAGCCACTTTCATTTTAGGTTACAGTCTCATTACAAGGTTTGTAAAAGGGCTGCAGTGACTTTTGTTTGGGTTCTTTTCTCACAAGACTGATATGAGTTTAAAAACCAAAGCTAAATAATAAAAAGAAAAAACTTTTGTGCTTAAGTTTTAAATCCAACATGGATGAGAATTGATACAGTTGAAAGTCGGGAAAGCAAGAGTAAGTGGATCTTCAGTTGGGATTCATTTGTCTTTCTTTTCTTCTCTTATTTATGTAATTATTCTATTGTTTTGAGAGAATTTCCAGTAATAGATGGATTAAAATCCCCAGTGAAGTTGCTTTATGTGCACTGTGACAGTTCAGTGTGATTTTCTGCTGCTAATGGGCACATACTGCAATAAAATGGTGTAATAACCCAAAGCCATTACAATCAGTACAATTTGGTACATATGACATGAGGGAATAGAAGTATGATCATCTGGATTTGGGCATGTGCATGATGTTGGATTTACAGGTAAATCAGGATAAAAGTATGTTTTATTTCTGCCTCCGAACACCTCAAAACTCGGTTTCAATCTTGATTAATTTTCCACATGATGATCGCTGATCACGACGAGTTATAAAACCGTTGTGTAATGTCATCTGTGGCTCCGGAGAGAGTTTTCTAAAGTGCGACAAACAACCAATGATAATCTTTAGGGATATCTTGGATTGATATATAAAAGGCAGCAATTACCATTACCACTGAAGCAGAAGTGTCCCTCTGTCTTCAAGGATCTCTTGAAGACTCATTTCTTCTTAGAGAACTTCCTCTAACACCCTAACAAGCCTAACTAACACTCATTATGTGCTTTCGTTTCAGTTCTTTGTCATTTTCACCTTCTCTGTTTGGGCCCCCGCTCTTTGGAACAACCTCCCTGGGGAGATCAGATTGATGAGGTGTTTAGCCTCTTTTAAATCCCTTTAAAAGACATATCTTTATAGGTGTGCTTTCTCTGGGCTTGGGGTCTGAATCTACTAATGTTTTAAATGTATTAGTCATAATCCTGTTTCTTATTGATTAATTTAATTACTTTAGACTGTTTTATCTCATTTTTACTGAACCTCATTGTCCCCCCCCCCCCCCATGTTGTAAAACCTTTAAACTGTTATTTTATCATTCAGTTTTTATTGTTCCTCTATTTCTCTATTGAAAGGTGCTCTCTAAATAAAGCTTATTATATTATTATGTTACTATACCTATTAAATATTATACTATTATTATAAACTTAATGGGTGCGGTTTGATCAGATTTAATTGACAGTGAATGAGTAGCCCAACAGCTGTCATCAGAGTCTGATTCATATGTTGCTCAATCCTGATTGGACCACAGAAGCAGGTGACATCACCTTTTTTTTTCCTTTTTTCCCCCATCTGAGCCCCGCCCACTTCAAACCAGGGAGAAGAGGTCAGAGAAAAATCATTCCCCACTGTGTGTAGTAAGAAGGTGAATAAGTTTTTAAGGACTTTAAGATGGTAGAGATGCTGTGTGTGTCATTTTGAAATGAATAAATCTGAGTGTGTGCCTCAGCCACATTAAACCACATGAGAGTCTGTAACTATAAGGGCTCGTTACAGACAAACACTCACCTCTCCTGGTCGAGGGCATCATCTCCTCTCCTCTTCTTCTTCTTCTCTCTGTGCGTTTGTCCCCTGGTGACTGACCGGCTGCTCCCCATTCATTACCACCGGGCTTGACAGCCAATAACTCTGCTCCTTAACTCAGGTTGTCAGAAGCTTGGCAGACACAATGTAGAGAGAGAGAGAGGGGGAGGAGGGGGGGAGGCAGGGAGGGAGGGAGAGGTTGTGAATGGGTTTACAGGGTTTGACGTCAGCCTCATTTCTCTCTCCTCTGGTCGATTATGTGCCTGTGTGTGTCTGTGTGTGCGTGTGTGTGTGTGTTTGTCTGGGAATAGGTGTGATGCATCATTTTTTTTTGTTGTTTTTTTTTTTTGTTTTTTTTCCTCTTTTGTGAAATGTTAGATGTGGCACCAGATTGGGTCACAGCCTCTCCACGGCATTTATAGCACACCGGGGCAGATACACAAAATGTTCCCCACCACATTTGTCACCTTTCCCTGAAATGATGAAAACAATGAAGTCATTCATCTCTGAAAATCTGCGTGTTTACAGCCCTCACACCTGTCTGGCAGGTTTACATAGGAGGGCTACAGGAGACTGAATGTTACTGCCACAGAGAGAGAGAGAGAGAGAGAGAGAGAGAGAGAGAGAGAGAAAGGGATCAAAGGGATAACGCAGAGAGCCTGACATTTATAACATGTTTTTTTGAGGCAGCCATTAAAGGCCTCCTGGGTGCTAATTTTGATATTTAACCATTTATATAACCGTGCTCGAGTCCATTCTCATGTTGCGTTTTTTTCAGTTTTTTCTGATCTGCGTGTCAACAGCAGGATGAGTCATCCGGTTTACTGATGCTTTGTGAGGAGAATACAGCAGAAACAATCAGACCACTTTGGCTGTTTATGAAAACCAAAATGAAATTGGCAGGATCTTTAGCACGTCTGGAAATCAAAAACAGGAAGCTAACGATAAAGGATGGGCTTTGAACAGATAGTTTTAGAGGTGTGACTCAGATGTGTAGCATAACACAGATAACAGCACTCTTTTAAACTGAAAAACATCTGGAAAAAGCATATTTTAACAAACGTCAATATAAAAGTGTTCAATACTAAATAATAAGCTAAATGGAAAACATATATGACATAAATAATCATATATAATCATTAAATCTTAAGCACACATTTTTATCCATTTATCAGTAACAAGAATTCCCAATATCGCTCTATAAATGCAGCTTGAATTATTACTCAGCATTAATGTGAAGAGCCAATGTTAGCAGTGTAAGCTAGCACCTGTTGGC